CTGGAAACGAGTTTGCTCAGCTCCAAATAATTGTGCGCCAGTGCCGGATGTGCTGACTCAAGGGCTTCAACTGGAGTCCTGAGTCGGGAGGCCAGCGACCATTGCTGGCCACGGCCCTGCTCCACAAGTTCGATTGCATGTGGTAGATTGTCACAGCGGATGGCACATGATGCTGAATCTGCTGGGAGTGTTCTGGCGTAATGAAAGGCAGCGGCAGCTTCGCGCCGTGAAGTTGCCGAAAATCGTGTGGCCAAATGAGCATCCAGAAGCTCAAAAAATGTCGAGTAGGCTTCCAGCGCAGATCCATGAGCATGCTGCTCCGCTACAACGGTCCAATTAGATGTGCAAATGATGCGTTCTGGGAACCCTTGAGTAGAATGTCTTGATGCGAATCTGAAGTTCTCCACTGCAAGAGACAAATCAGCAGAGTCGAGTAGAATCTGGTAACGAGACAAATAGGCCTCCTGCAGCCACCTGTAGCTGAAGTACCTGTTCGGGTGCAGTGAAGACAGAGCCGCCAACGATTCTTGACAAAGAGCAATGGCCTCCTCAACATCTTCGTTCTGCCGAGTTTCCGTGAAACGAGAGCAGAGCGCCGAGCTCAAATTGTGAAGATGATTATGGCGGTCTGGATCGTCAAGCCGCTTTAACCGAAGGGATTGTCGATACCAATCAATGGCCTCGTTCAGATCCTCGCTGACTTGCGATCTGTCATATCTGTGTTGGAGCGCGATGGCAAGGTTGTTGAGCGTGGTGTCTCGACGTAGATGACCAGGTGGGCACAACGTCAGGGCCTCGCGATAGAGGCTGATAGCTCGGGTCATGTCATCAATATCGCCGCGTTTGTTGAAACGGTCGACGAGGACGCCCCCTAGGTTGTCCAATGAACAATCACGAGATTCGTGCCCAACAGAGCACAGGTGCAGCGTTTCTTCAAACAAAGAAATGGCCTCATCGAGATCATTAGTATTGCCTTGGTGACGAAAGCGGGATGCGACTGAATAGGCCAAATTGTTCAGGTAGGCATCACGGCCAGCATGTCCCTCGGGACACAGAGACATGGCTTCGCGACCAAGCTGTATGCTCGTGTCAAGATCATCGATGCTGCCGTGCTGATCAAACCGTGCTTCAACTGCTTGTGCAAGCTGGTCGAGGGTTCTAGGACGAAATCGATGGCCCACAGGACAGAGCTCGAGCACGACTCTTCGAAAGTGGATGCCTTCATCGGATGCGTCTTTTGGAAGTTTGTGGCATCTGGTGATCACATATTCCACACCATTTTTCCCTGCCGCGATGCTACGAAGGTACGTGCCCTCCGGACAGAGAGGCAGTAGCTCATGATACAGTTGGGCGGCTTCGCAGATGTCTGCAGCAGTACCTTTCCTGAAGTGGCGCCAAGTCAGCGCTTCGGTGAGATTGAATAGGGATAAGGGATGATCGGGATGGTGCTGTGGACGCAATGCAAGGGCGTCGCGGAACAGGGAAGTGATAGTATCGATGTCTTGAATATCATTTCGGATATAACCTTTAAGGCGAACCCATGCAAGGTTGGTGAGAGCCGTTGCGCGGTCTGGATGACCGACCGGACACTGGTTCAGAACCAACTGAAAATGCTCTACAGCACCGTTCAAGTGAGAGACCCTCTTGCGTCTCACGTATGTGGCAAGTCGTACGTAGCCAGCATCTGTGTCTCGAGCAATTTCACAGTCTACGAGGGACTATAATTGGCGTTCCATCAGCAAAGCTAACAGGACAGAGTCCGGGGTTGCTCACATCAAACAGTGTGCCGTTTTGATCGTCCCAAGCATGTACAACAGCAACCTTCAGTGTGATGGAAGGTTGGACACCGCGCACGGGTGGGAAAGATAGATCTACGAGATCTTAACACATGTGCATGGATGAGAAGGGAATGACTGACCAAATGGGTGATCCCCATGATCGAGTAGCTCATCCCACGACATTTGAAGTTTCCCGATGACCTCTCCACCGCCTAGCATTCGACCAAGCTCATGGGATGCCCTGATCTCCACTGACAATGCAGGCGAGACATTTGATGATCTATAAACCGACGATCAGTTCTCGTATCACGTCAGAAGATCTCCATGGACTTTACAGAGTTACGGTATCCCTCCACGCTACAGATTCATCAGATGATAAGACACTGATGGCCGATTTCCAGCGTCTCCTCGAGTTGACATTGATGAACACGTAAATGCCAGCCGGAATGCGCTCGGACGGGACTCGAAGATTCTTTCCGCTGATGACTGTAGATAGAGCTTGAGGATCATGACACTGATACGAAGGTAATGTTAAGGAACTCACCTTCAAGTCTGATATATCGATGTTTTGAGCGACGAGGCATGATGTTGTGATGGAGCAAATTGATGAGGTTCGAAGACGGGCTGAGTGGCGTGGAAGGAATCAGTGAGAAGGGAGGACGGGGGTAAGGATACGGGGACTATGGATAGAGGTTCAGCTGAAGGGAGATTGAGCGCTAGGGTTCAGGCCACACTGCACGTGTATTTCCATATTGTCGGTGGATGTTCGGCACGATAGACGCTGGTATGATCGCACAAGCGCTGGGAATGAAGATCACCGGCCAGGATTAGCAGAAGAATCTGTGCTAAAGTAAAGAATGGCATGAACAGTTTGTGGCGAAAGTGGCCTGCCAACGTTGAAAGGGACATGCGAGTCTCAGAGTTATTGCTGCTCCTGGACTTGTATCATACTACTCAGTTAGCACGCAAAGGCAAAATGTAGAATTGAGTATATTTTGTGAGGTAACGACAAAGGCAAAAACATCTATATCGCTGAAAACGGCGCCCAAAGAAAAGTACATACGACTGGTCCAATTGAGCTGACAGTGCCATGGGGGAAGGACTATCTTGCCTGCAGCGATGAATAAGAAAGAACAAGGCGAGAATGCAACCAATTGTATTCTCGTTCGGTGAAGTATTCGATGATCGATGATTGAAATATTGACGAACAAAGTATTGAGGAAGCTGTGACCGCTACCGGATTCACTCACCGCCGGGAGATAACAAACTGAACCCTGCGGAAAAGGAATATCCATTATAGTGGCACTGCATGGATAGGTTTGCAGGTCCATAGTGTAGGGAAGCCTTGAAGGTGACAGGACCATACTTTGGCCAAGGATATGTAGTGCGGCTTGAGGCTGCAAAATGGCAGAGGTTACAGGAGCGGACCATTGCAGTAAACATCTGAATGTGGAGCTTCGACGAGAGGGAGGGGTTGTATTCGAGGGAACAAAGTGCAGAGTGACTGTCGAGTCAATGGTGAAAGAAACAGGGTGAAGAGGGAATCACCAGATACTATGAGGCGTATCTCGTAAGAGATGGACGTGGACTGTACTGATGGACAGCTACTTTACCAAGCGTAAATCCTCGTGCGCTACGTCCCCCTTGAACTGCATCAAGTACGAAGAGATGACTCCACGGAGAGAACCGTCGTGAGAAGCACAAGGAATCTAAGAATCTAAGAATCTTAAGAATCTTAAGAAGAAAGGGAGAAAGGTTTCGGAAACGCACGGGCGCTCGCGTGGTTTGCGCTTGCGCCGCGTAGGGCCATGTGGTTTTCGCCTAGATACGCTTAGATGCGCTTAAGGCCACATGGTTTTCGCTTACCTCGCTTAAACCTCTTTTTGGAAACTCGCGTGGCTTTGTCACGTGTTTTCGAGCGCCGACTCAATCGCCGCTAAGCAACGCACTACATATTTCCCTATTGTAATTGTTTATGGTACATACATACAGTAATAAAATTGAAAATGGAACAACATATGATATAATTTGCAGACAGGGGGACAAGGAAATGAATGACAAAAGGTTGTGAAAAAATAAATAAAAAGGAAACAAACAATGTAGACTCAGAAACTGGAGAATGGGAGATGGGAGGACAGAAAATTGGGAACAGGAAACAGGGAGAATGGGAGAGACTCAAAAATGGGAGAACAGGAGACGGGAGACGGGAGACGGGAGACGGGAGACGGGAGACGGGAGACGGGAGACGGGAGACGGGAGACGGGAGACGGGAGACGGGAGACGGGAGACGGGAGACGGGAGACGGGAGACGGGAGACGGGAGACGGGAGACGGGAGACGGGAGACGGGAGACGGGAGACGGGAGACGGGAGACGGGAGACGGGAGACGGGAGACGGGAGACGGGAGACGGGAGACGGGAGACGGGAGACGGGAGACGGGAGACAGGAGACAGGAGACGGGAGACAGGAGACAGGAGACGGGAGACAGGAGATGGGAGATGGGAGATGGGAGATGGGAGACAGGAGGACATGGGACACAATGGGAGATGGGGGGCAGGGAAAAATGGGAAAATAAATACATTCAATAATACTGTTACATATTCTGCAATTTTATGTGGTGTAGCAGATTGTATTTTTACTTTTGTCAAAATCCTGCTCCAATAGTGTAGAACTGACTGATCTTATGTACACTAATGTACTATGTACTTTTACATGGTGTGGTAGATTGTACTTTTAGTTTTTCAAATGCTGCTCATAAATGTGCCTCCTTTTCAAAATTCACTATTGAGGTGTGATCTTATTCAAAATGCACAATTTATTAGGATGCAGCCTGAGGCCAGGAAGCCAAAGGAGGGCACAGCCCTCCTTGGCTTCCTGTGACGAAGGAACAACACTCATCAGGAGCCTTCAGAATTATTGGGATGAAGCTGAGGCCAGGAAGCCAAAAAAAGAGTGCGAAGCACTCTTTTTTGCTTCCTGTGCCGAAGGCAGAACAGGTGTGGACTAGTCTTAAGAAGAAAGGGAGAAAGGTTTCGGAAACGCACGGGCGCTCGCGTGGTTTTCGCGTAGGGCCATGTGGTTTTCGCCTAGATACGCTTAGAGCCAGTTCGGATACTCCCTGTAGCCAACATTTGATTGTAAATGTTGACACCAATTCATCGGCATGTGAACCCGAGATATCGGAGCTTGAACCTTGCCTCCCTCATACTTGTACATATTATCGATGGATTATACTACTCATCTATCCCTAGAGCGGCGGCAGAGGCTTTTCGCTGGTGCTCTCGCGATTACAGCCACCTGTGCCCAATACACCACACTCCTTATGGCCCAACCAGAAGTCCATCAAGCTAGGGTCCCACATGCTCAGTGGAACGATGGCGAGATTGCCGCCCTTATCAATTACTTATATGATCACCGCTCGGATGCTGAAGGAGGAGGGAATTTCAAGACTAAGGTTCTTGCGGATGCTGCAGACCACATCAACAGTGATGAAGATCTGGCAGCCACTCAGATGGGTCCACCAAAGACAGCAAAGTCAGTGCGCAACAAATGGACATTGGTATGTCACATATGATATCTGTTTTTACCTGATCGTAAGCTGATGACTGATCCTTAGCTCAAAAGCACTTACCATGTTATCAAGAAGTATCGCAACCAGACAGGAGTCCATTGGGGCAATGAGAATGGAGGTGGGATTGCAGGACCAGCAGCAACAGCTGTGTGGGAATCATACATCCAGGTATTTGCGCCCTCATAATTCTAATGTATACACGAGCTCATATATTACTAGAAAAATCCTTTGATTCGGCCATTCCGCACCAAGGGATGGGAGCATTATGAAAAAATGCAAGCCATTATTCCATTGGGTGGCGCCAGGGGCCAGCATGCTTTTCGCCCAGGTGGCGTTGCTACTCCCATCGCCAATCCTGACACTGAGCCTGGAGGGACATCCGATGCGGCTGTCCCAGCTGGTGCTGTAGCTGGCCCATCAGGCAGCACCACCACTGATCCTCATCCTACCACTACCGCTACTGCTATCACCTCTGGCTCTGGCTCTACCTCCACCGCCACCACCACTACCACCACCACCACCACCTCTACTGCGGCTACCTCTGCTGCTGCTACCTCTGCTGCTGCTACCTCTGCTGCTGCTGCCTCTAGTGCTGCTACCTCTAATGCTGGAAAATGCCCACATACTGAAGCTGACATGGAGACCATGTCATTTGGGTCTAGTCATATCTCCATGCAGCCTCCCTCTACCACCTTGGTAGTATCCGGCCCCCCATCCAAGAAGGCGTGGACACCAGCACAGTCTCAGAACAGCCGTCACACGAAGATCAGCAGCATTGCAAGGGCTGCAAAGATCACACCGGCTGCTGCTGTGGTGGGGATGCAAGGCAGCATCAACCGGATGACTGATTCGTTCGAAGCGTTCATGAGAGGAGCAGTTGATGATGACAATGTCACCTGCGCCGTCAGACTCTTAGAGGGTGAAGATGCCGATATCCCGCCGGAGCAGCAGGCTTTGCTGGTCAGTGTCCTTGGCGCGAAGGGCAATGATCATTTTCTTAAGTTTTACGTTACCATGAAGAATAGCGTCAGGAGACATGCATTTGTAGAGAAGATGATCGGTCAGCGAGTTGGTGAAGAGGCGCATGATGCTGATGCTGATCTTGATCTTGATGAATGAACTCAACAATCGTTTACTGCACTTTTCCAAATCGTTTACCGCATTTTTCAATACCATGTATCACCGTTGTATACTTGTACTATCAAAATTGTTGATTCAATGTTTCATTTACTTGTAAACTAAGTTCAGAACATGGCCTTGTCATACAGGCCCCATCTCCTCATCATCAGCAGCGCTACCCTCGAGCTCATCCTCCTCATCATCTACAGGATCAAGTCCTTCTAAGCCACGTTCCAATACGACACGTTGATATTGAGCCCACATCGCCTCAGCGATGCGATCACGCATTTCGGTGCCTCGACGAAAGTCACCCTCATTGTCTTCTTCGATAGCAACAGCCTCCTTGTCAGCAGCTACGTCAAGGTCAGGGTCCTCCTCCAAAACTCTGTCTCCATCTCCATCGTCGACAGGGGGAGTACCCTCGCTAGGGTCGTGCACACGAATGTAGTTGTGGATTGCGCAAAGAGCGGCTGGTATTTGGGCCTGGACCTCCATAGCGTAGCCAGGCGAAAGAAGAAGTATGCGGAAGCGTTGTTTGAGGACACCGAAGATGCGCTCGATGATATTCCGTGCTGATGCGTGTCGCAAATTGAATAGTTCTTCCTTGGTTTCTGGCCTGTAAAACTTAGAACAACATTTGCAAAATAATTGAGAGCTTACCTTATGTTTGCGCGACCCCATTCAGCAAGGTGATAACGCACGTTTTGGTAAGGCACGAGTAGCCCAGGGCGCAGAGGATACCCCGCATCTGCAAGGAAATATTTCCCTGGGGGAGTCTTAAAGTCATGAGCGCAGGCATCCTCATAGACACATGCATCTGTTGCTGAGCCTTCCCATCCTGTGAGCATGTATGTGAAGCTAAGATCGAAATCGCATGCAAAGAGACAGTTTTGCGAGACAAACCCCTTCCGATTGCGATAAACGGGACGTTCAATGGCCTTGGGTGTGACGTGGATGTGGCTCCCATCAAGTGCCCCAATAGCGTCCTTGAAAAACGGCCACCATTTCGGATTCTTGCGGATTTTGGGGGGAATTGAATTGTCCGGAAAACGTATGTATTTTGAATAGAATGGGTCGGTTGTGAAGATGACAAGCATCTTGCGGAAATAACTATGTACTATTAGATATTACCTCCCCCCCAAAAAAAAAACACTCACCGTGAAATCATTTCATTTGAGTGTTGGAACCTCTCTGCAAGATGCCTGATTGACAGGCCGGTGACGGAGGCATACAGAAATATTGCCAGCTGTTCCTTGAGCGAGACATACTTAGAGTCCGAATGACCCATGCTCTGAAGCTCGTCGATAAGCTCAGAAAAGGCACTGGCATGCATGCCAAGCTCGCACCTGATGCGTTCAGGGTGACCGGTGAGGAGCTCGATGACCCAGTCCTGTCCAGACAGTGCCGATGTGTGATAAGGCTCCAGATCTCTTGGATATAAGGTCTGCACTGCGCTATGCGCTGCAGTAACAAGAATACTAAATATTAACGCTGAAAATTTCAAGAGTCGCTCCCGGACCTCTGGTCGAGGATTCATTAGGAGTGTAGCTAGGTGCTGTGGATCCATTGGCTGAAGCTCATCCATGCCTACTAGTCACTATGATAAGCGGGAGCTGCAAGATTTAAGCTCCAATATCTCGGATTCACGATGCCGATGAATTTGGTGTCAACATTGACAATCAAATGTTGGCTGCAGGGAGTATCCGAACTGGCTCTTAGATGCGCTTAAGGCCACATGGTTTTCGCTTACCTCGCTTAAACCTCTTTTTGGAAACTCGCGTGGCTTTGTCACATGTTTTCGAGCGCCAACTCAATCGCCGCTGCAGCGCACTGTGCAACACAAGTATTTTCCCTATTGTAATTGTTTATGGTACATACATACAGTAGATAATAAAACTGAAAATGGAACAACATATGATACAATCTTGCAGACAGGGGGACAACAAATATATGTGCTGACAGGAAATGAATGATAAAAGGTTGTGAATAAATAAATCAAAAGGAAACAATGTCAGAAATTTCCAGCAGGCATCATAATGCTCCCGTATCGTAATGCTATATTTATCAGCATTATGATTCAATTATAATTTTATTATGATTTGATAACAATTTGATTACGATCTCATTACGATGTCGTCGAGACTGCTATCAAGTCTCAGCTCGACCTGAGTTCCAATTATACTCTACTGCTCACTGCCATCTGCAACAAAGGTACACATGCGCAGTATTTCTAACGTCTAGATCGCTCATCACTCATACTAGGTAGGATAAACTCTGTTGTCAATTTCCTCTTTGTCGCTGCTCACAAATTCAAATTCCCCGCAAGTTCTCATCTCGTTCTTTGTGCCATCAATTTCTATTTCTATGCCTCCTCAACGGACATCAGATGACGTGAAGTGTAACACATGCGGAATACTAGTACGAGCTTGTGGACTGGTCCCACATGAAAAGAAATGTAGGAAGCTGGCACAGGAGAAAGAAGAAGATGACGAGGTCAAAGCAATTATCGAAGAAGCAGCGAAAAAATGTACGTATTATGCACACCGTTTTTGTTTTGTCCCATAACTCACCTCACAACTGCACAGAACATAAGGCTCACACTCAATCCAAATGACGTGCGGCGTCATCTACAGGTAAGTCACCTAATAATCTGCTTTCACACTGATCACTCGAATAACACTATTGTCAGTTGATCCTATCAACATTTGGTCGATGCAGCGTCACAACCACGAGAACGAAGCTGCAGATTCAGAAGATAATATTGGTACGTTTGCATATTAGTCTAGTGGATTCCCAAAAACTGATCAATCATTTTATGTGTCAGACATGCAGGGATCAATGCCTCGAAGTCGTCAATCGCTGATATCGGATTTCAATATGGCGTTGCCTGGCCTTCAGAGCCACTACGACGATGCAAATCCTGCAGATCAGGAACCATTACCGCAGCTGGATGATATCAAGGTTGATTATCATCCTCACAGCCAGATTCCGTCCACCATTCATCATTTTGCCGATTTCTCTCGCACACGTCCCACAGAAGCTTCAGTACCTCGGAATCACGCACCATGGGAACCATTCCGAACACGGCTCGATTTTGAGGTCGCGGAAATCGCCCTTGAAGCTGCACTCAACACAGATCAAACCAATCGTCTGCTTAGTCTCGTTCACCGTTCCGCACGTAGCGACGAAACCTTTACACTATGAAACCATGATGAAGTCCGGGAGTTGTGGTCAACCGCTTCCCAACGCTTCACTCTGGTAGGCAAATACAAGTTCAATTAGACGCACTTAACTAAACATATGTAATTTATCAAGTTTCAAGTTGATGTAGTTTTGGTTCCATATAAAAACAAGGTGCACGAGTTTGATATGCACTATCGTCCTCTTTGGGAATGGGCTCTTGATATGTTGCGAGATCGACGTCTTGCGCCGCACTTCGTATTTGATGCACAGCGCCTATATAAATTCAATGGTACGCGTTTTGTACGCTTTATTGATGAACCTTGGACTGCTGACACATTCTGGGATGCACAGGTAAGTCTTGATCACTTTGCATGTCCAATGACATGCAACTGCGCCTTGTGTAGTCACGACTTCCACCTGAGGCAAAGCCTCTCGCTTTTATATTGTATGCAGACAAGGCAAAATTATCCTCTTTCGGTACCCAGAAAGCCTATCCGATTGTTTGTCGGATCACAAACCTGCCTGTCGAAATCCGGAACGGTACTGGTCTTGGTGGTGGCTGAATTGTAGGTTGGCTGCCTATTGTTAGTATTTAGTTTAACTTCATACACATGCTGATGTCAGAGCAGGTGTCAGAGGATCCGGAGCATGCAGGAAAAAGCAGCTTCATGAACTTCAAGAATGCCGTTTGGCACGAGTCCTTTTTAAAACTTTTAGAATCCATCATACAGATCTCGAGGACAGGATATTGGTTCGAGTGTGGTGATGCCATCCGGCGCCTGCTGTGGCCCTTGATTTTGATTCTGAGTGCCGACTATGAAGAACAGTGAGTCTTACAACGCTCAAGTTCGCTGTGATATTGCTGACACTGTGTGATAGATGTGTTATGGCATTGATTCGCGGACTGAAAGGTAAATTTCCCTGCCCGATCTGCTTGGTTCCTCAAGACGAGCAATCCGTCTTATCTCACGAACTTCAATTACGGACAAGCACTGAGTCTGAGGAGACCCTTCGGTTGGCCCGCGCGAAGAAATCCAAGAAGGAGAGGGAAAACTTACTTAAAACTTACTCGCTGCGTGACGTTGAAGTATGTTTTGCAAGGTCTTTTGTTTATATTACGCTGACAGACATGATCTTCAGAATGTCTTCTGGAGAATGCTGCTCACCGACATTCACCGAGCGCTCTCCTTTGATTGCATGCATGTGCATCATGGAGGGCTTTGGAGGCACCATCTGTGGAAGGAGCTGCAGTTCTGGATACTTGAATTAGGGTGAGAAGCTGTTGCGGAGATGGATGCAAAGTACGTTCATATTGTTATCCGACATGAGCTGCCTCAAACTTAATAGTACTACCTCAGCTATGATGCTTTTCTGCGGTGGTCTAACCTGACGCACTTCTCGAAGGTAGTTGGAGTTGATTTCAATGACAGCTCGCATCACGAGGACATATCGAAGGTAAGCTGCAACTGAAGCTGCATCCTGTGCTAACGAGCCTCAGATGGCTATCTTTGCGGCGCAAAGGATCCTCCGCCGTTCACAGAGTAAGCTTGGCTATCTCCTTCTGCGATGCATACGCCACTATATCGATCTCGACATTTACGCTGGATTTGAGGTTCACACTGAAGGTACAATATCTGCAGGAAGACAAGCTCTGCGGGATTTTTCAGCGCTGATGGAGGTAAGTTATGCTTTGCAATACTTCCCGATCATTCACCTATGATCTGTTATTAGGAGTATATTCTCAAATCACAGCCTGTAACAGGCAAGGACTGGAATTTCCCCAAGAAACACGCAAGTTCGCATCTATTCAACGATATCTTGGTGAAAGGCGCGACACGAAACTACAACACAAAACCGAACGAGAAGATGCACGGCCCCGTGAGGGACATCTACCACAATCGAATGAATTTCAAGGACGTCGCTACACAGGTTCGTGTGTCAACAAGACTGGATTAACATGAACTAACTTAACGAGTTCAGATTCTTCGCTATGATCATTGGTTACTAACCTCAACATCAATGCGCTCTGAACTTGACGAGTTGGACGAGTACAATCGGAAAGCCAACCTCCCAACAACAGAAGATGCAGACGCAGAAAATCCTGCGATTTCTGTGGCCCCAGCTCCCTGCACTCACATAAAGTTAGGCTCGGCGCAAGGTGACATCTCATTTGCAAGTCTCAAGCAGTCGCACGCAGACGACAGGGCCTTTGTTGGTTTTTGAGTCAAACTCAACGGCTTCCTGAACACATTCTTCCCCAGTAACAACATTCCTTTACCAGATGGCAAGCACATTCATTTGCAGGCTGACAACAAGGTACGCCAACAACTCAACCTGCTAACTACTTGTTAAAATTGTGCTGTGCAACATAATATTTAGATTACCGGATACAAATATCTGCAAGTCAACTACGAGTCTATGGTCAACTGGCACCAGTGCAGAGACCTCCTTCGATGCAACCCCGAGTTCTTTGGATCTCCGCGATATGATTGTGTTATGGTTCAAACCAACAATCAACCATTTTTTGCTCGCCTTATCTTCATGTTCGGTTGCTCGATTGGCGAAACCAATCTCTCACTGGCGCTCATACATCCATATGATGTCGGAATCAGTGTCCGTAGCAAGCATGACACTGAGCTGGGACTATGGCATGTACGAGCCAAACCTCGGTCATCTCCCGAATTCATCTCTGTAAGGTCGATTATCCGAGGGGCTGCGCTTGCCAGTGATCCTGGGAGACAAGGCGATTACTTCGTCATTGACACGGTTGATGCAGACATGTTTCTTCGGCTCAAGTATCTGCAAGCTTAACTCGCCTGACACTTTGGCAGCGGCCTCGGCTTGCAACACACAATATCATTAGGTATAATATGCATTAAGTAGGTCATCAAGCTGCATCATTGACATTACTGACACAAGTGTGTCGTAACACAGTGTCACCTCGTGTTTGGACACACATCTTTCATCCAGCATTTCTTCTCAAGGTCACAGCTTCCATGATCCGTTTCACTAATAACGACTTGTGTACCGAAGCGATTGCATCAAATCATATTATGTATGTTATTATTGAATCAACTCATGTCTGTCATTATCTCACTCACTAGTAATACCACAGATTGATTCTAAACCGTTTAGGGTTGCCCGCAAAATGTATATAAAGACCTTGCGATCCATTCGTTCACTCAGCATCTGGGCCGCTCACACATCACGCATTCTCTCTTTGCATATAGCTCATGTCGGACTCTCCGCTTGACTCTGATTCAAACCTCGAAGATTCCGACTCTAATCTATTGTCATTGTCGGATTCAGGGCATGATTCAGATGATGATGCCCCACGGCCTGTGGCACCACCAAGCGCCGATGCATCTACAAAGCACCTTCAAGCGGTAGGCTCTTTTTTCTTTCGTCGACTCGCGTCCATTCCCTGACTCATTTTATCTAGTACATTAAGCAACTTCAACTTGAGAAAGGAAAGTTGGAAGAGCGTAACACAGCGCTGAATGCAACCAATGGTACACTAGCAGCACAGCAGTTGAAACGTCGCAGGCGCTCACCAAATCAGACGTCATCTGCTGCTGCATTGCCGGTCTCATCTACTGCGTCCTTACATTCATCCATGCCACCTTCATCTACCGCATCCTCGTGTTCGTCTGTGCCACCTTCATCTGCGCCATCGACTACAGTGTCCATCATCACGTCTGAGACCATCATCGACAAGCTAATCTTAGGTTTGGCCAAGAAGTATGCATTGACGACGGAGATGTTCCTGCCCGAAAAGGTCATTTTTCAGACAGACTGCCCTGATCCTCTGGTCGATATAACAAGTCCGCAACGTTACACTAAGAAATCGATAGAGAAGGCTGCCCTTGTCACTGAGCTCTATGCCTCAATTGATCATGAGTTGCATCCTCAGATGCGAACAAATTCATTCTTTAACTTGGTACGTAACTTAAAATTTTACGTAGTTGTAAATGAGTTGACGATTTGCAGAACAGTTTGCAAGCGGCATGCAACAGGCACGATCATCATTCTTCAATGGTCTACGTACTGTTTCAGGTAGCATCTTTAACATGTCACCCGAGTACTTTGTTGCCAGATATGACTGTGCTTCCGTCCAGAAAATTACGGATATGATTGGATGGGAGGCGGGGAAGGGGAAGACCTTTGATGTTTTCAAAGCACCGGTACTGTACCCTGATAACATTGTTAATGAGAAAAAGATTTTCAGAGCCTGGTTGATGATCGCGAAGGTAAAATACACTGACTCAACCATAGGACAATCACTCACATCTTTCTTTGAAAGGTTATCAAGGTTTCAGTGTGCGGCAAGATGTCATTGTTCCCCAAGGGGCGTGGTGGCCCGCCTACCTATGCGAAGATGTGGAAACTCAACAGCTGCACTCCTGGTATGATAGCATTTGGTGTGACTTCGGTATGTGTCGATGTCAATGATTCAAAGGCACTATCTGACTGATATCATATTCGGTAGATAATCTTCATGCTATCCCCAGATCAAGAATTCTCCGGGGATGGTATTGGAGCCATTTCTTCGATCCCTTACCACACCATCTTCCATGCTGTGAAAAGATTCTTCATTGTCAAGTGGACCCATGAACACATCAAAGCCATTGTGGGACAAATCAACGGTTATGTCTTTGACAATGTTGCTCAGACAGAGGAGGACGATACCTCAGGCCAGCCTGAAGACATGGTTGATCGTGTCATGGCAGCATTAGACGATTCAGATAGCAGTTCGGATGAAGACCCCGTTGGCTCTGACAGCCTTCATGCGCACCATCCTACCATCATTGAACCAAGTTCTTCGACCACCGCATCATCAGGCTCAAATACTGTTGCAGTAGCTTCTTCCCTGCAACACGAACCCCCCTGCCTTCTTATGTCGCGCCATCAATCTCAACTTAGGGTGCGGTACTCAATCCTGGATTAAGTGCTACAAGTTTGGAGTCTGCCTTAGCTGCTACAGTGATAGCCGCACCCCATCTGGAGCCAGCTATTGAAAACTCCATGGCTGTCACTACGAAGTCCAAGGGACGTCGGGGAAAAAGTCAGAAGGTTGATTTAACTGGGCAAGATGTTCGCCGTTCCTCTCATCATACCATCTCTACTAAATAGTTCTCGTCACTTTATTGACGCATCTTGAGCTTTCAGACTAGCCTCCTACCTATTACCATACCAACTCCCATGTACCAGTCAGCGCTCGAGTTCAATCGATATAGGTCGCAAGCAATCATCATTCTATTTGGTCGTTATCACGCAGATTTACACCCTTTTTTCTGACTGTGGCTCTCGAGACGCTATTCTTGAGGTCTCTGACAGATTCAGAAGCAGCACCGAATGACGGACAGCGAGGACGAAGAGATGGCAGATGCAGATGATGACGACGAGGATACTGATCTTGATGAGTGATACTGACTTATTTTCTTCTTTTACTCACAATGCGCATTTACTAGGACTCAGACGATGAAGACACAAGCACGCAGGTCATCCTTTGAAGCCAGGTATTGCTGTCTCTCTCCCTGTGTTTGCGCTGATCCCGAGTGTGCTGCAGGAGCTCAAGACATTCCCTTCATACTCTGCCAGATCCGCCATCAGCCACACCTTCGTATTATGACCATCGTTAACCTTCGCTGCCCTCGTATTGCTCCAGCGACTCAAGGCACGTTTTCCCACTGCTCGGGGTTCTTCCAGTCACCGTCTTTTCGTGTCCGCTTTCATGCTCGCACCAAAATCCTGGAGTATTGTGACGCAGGGCATGTTCCAGCTGCGCGAAATTAACCAGATGGAGCGCGAGATGTGTCAGTATCTGGAGTGGGAATGCTGAGGGAGTTCGAGGACATGGTCAAGAAGGATTTTGTAGGTCAGTCCTTACCCGACTTACACTCTCCCTTCCCCCTCAAAGACAACCCCTCCTCCTACCACAGATCCCTTTCTGTCTCCTCCAGCTGCTTTGGCGCCCACACCTTCATATGGCCATCGTTATTCTTCACCACCAGGGCCTGCACCTGAGTGTCACTATTAATATTACTAATTAGTAAATGTATCACGTACCCCATCCTTTTACTAATTAGTAACAAATATTACTGTCCCCTCATACCAGCAATAATATCAGCAAACCGGCAGTCCCTTGGGAAAAATCAGAGCTCCCTACGGCTTATTTAATACCGATGAGGCGCTGTTGCCTTACTACCCTAAATAGGTATGAGTGGACATTTCTGGTTATGGCACTGATTCACTGTGCCACACCTTCTCACGACAATGTTCTCACCTGTGCTCGTCTTGCGTGACGTTGAGCTCCATTTTTCACTTATGTTCTACCCAAATTTCCCCGGACCTTTTCTGTTTTATCTTTCCATGCAATTGATACGGTATCCCACTTTCCATGACCTCTCATTATTGCTGGATTGTCATGCAGGTCGTCTGCTGTGGTGAGCTCGTTGTTTCACTCATTGTTTATTGTCTTCACGTCTGCCTTTTCACTATAGTACATGCACGCGCACAGCTCTCCGACCTCTCGCTATTCCGCCTTGCAGGCGCCTCATATCCAACTGTGTCTGCATGCTGCATGACAGGCTCAAATGCCGTCGTTCGCCCAGGCAAGACAATATCGTCTTCATATGGGTTCTGTCGCTTTCCGTACTCACTGCCTTCAACCTCACCATCGTCCATGACCACTGCGCTGTGGGAGGTCTTGTCTATGGTTGATGTTGGTGAGTCCCCTTCCATTGAATGGATGGCTGCTTATTCATTCAGGCAGGACAATATCATCTTCATATGGATTGTGTGGCTTTCTGGACCCACCACCTTCAACCTCGCCATTCAGCTGTTGGTGAGTCCCCTTCCATTGAATGGATGACCGCTTATTCGCCTGGGCAGGACAATATCGTCATCATATGGATTGTGCGGCTTTCTGGATCCACCGCCTTCAACCTCACCATTCAGCTGTTGGTGAGTCCCTTTCCATTGAATGGATGACTGCTTATTCGCCTGGGCAGGACAATATCGTCCTCATATGGATTGTGCGGCTTTCTGGACCCACCGCCTTCAACCTCGCCATTCAGCTGTTGGTGAGTCCCCTTTCATCAAGTGGATGGCCGCTTATTCGCCCGGGCAGGACAATATCGTCCTCATATGGATTGTGCGGCTTTCTGGACCCACCGCCTTCAACCTCGCCATTCAGCTGTTGGTGAGTCCCCTTCCATCGTCCTCATATGGATTGTGCGGCTTTCTGGACCCACCGCCTTCAACCTCACCATTCAGCTGTTGGTGAGTCCCCTTCCATCAAGTGGATGGCCGCTTATTCGCCCGGGCAGGACAATATCGTCCTCATATGGATTGTGCGGCTTTCTGGACCCACCGCCTTCAACCTCGCCATTCAGCTGTTGGTGAGTCCCCTTCCATCAAGTGGATGGCCGCTTATTCGCTCGGGCAGGATAATATTGTCTTCATATGGATTGTGCGGCTTTCTGGACCCATTGCAACAGTATTGTATCTACAGGTAATGTAAATGATCTGTTGATTAAGCCTCTGTTGAACTCATCCCATTGTCCTCTGTATCTTCCACTATTTCTGCACTCTTTGCTATGGGGGTCTTTTCTTGGCGCTTACGAGTCTTGTAGATTGGTTCGCCATTTGCCTGTCGTTCTTTATTCTTGGCAATGCGTTCTACGAGCTCGTCACTTGTGAGCTTTGTCCATGAGCATGTTCCTTTCAAAAGTAAGTCATGCAAATTGATTAAGTCTTCACGACGCCCAATATTTCCAGGATTTCGAATAGTCCCAGGAACATTTTCCAGTGCAACGCCGTAAGTTTCTACAATCTTGCCTTCGTAATTGTTGTAATTCATTTTGACCTTCTTTTTTGGCGGATGCCTCAAAGTAGGAATAATAATATCTGTATGACTAATGTTAGGAAATGTGCCTGCGAAGAATTTTCGCTCAACCTACCAAGTCCGTCCTGGATGTGTTGGCGGCATAGGCTCACAAGTTTTGTCAATGACAGTCGTTGGCTGACTGTGCCAGCACTATCTACATGAAAGTTGTTTAGTAGGTTATGATTATTGTATGCTTGTTGCTCACCGAAATCTCCAACTACCCAGGACTCGACTTTGAGCGCAAAGTGCTTCGGCTCCATGCCGAGAACATCTTTGATGAACGACCCGACTTTTGCTGTGTAAAAGAGCTTCGGTTCGTGGTACTGCTCGACATCACCTCGAACAGCAAGATACATTCCGTCGAGGCCCATTCGTGCTTGGATGCTAGCCCACTGTTCAACTACAAGTAAGTCGCATTTTTATGTATTATTTCGTAGCAGTACCTCTGTCTGCATTGTTTTGAATGTCGCGTTGACATCCTTTTGTAGTGCCTTAGGGTTCGCACGTGTAACCTTCACATGTGACTGGCGATATGTGTTGATGTTCTCCCGCAGGCGGTTCTTGTCGACCAACGTCAAGCGCAAATGGGCCGATGTTAGTTTTGAACTGTGGGCCTTGATAAATGCAGGAAGCTTCAATAGATCCCCCGGCGCATGTCCTTTCATTCACATGAGTATTGGTGTGAAAATTTTATTAGTTAGTACCTTCGTTCTCCTCATTCAGTTTTTGTCTGACAAATGCATTCTAAAGATTAGCACGGCGTCTGTTGAAGACACCTTTGCCAGTATAGAGCTGCCTTCGCGTCCACTTCAAGCTTCTGTCCGAGAGTGAGTACTATGAATTTCTTCATGAAATAGTTGATCTTACCGGCCATTATCTTTGGCAATAGCACAGGCCTCCTCTTGGTACGTATCTTGCGCTGTTGTGATGGCATCGGTGAGCTTGACTAATTTTGCGCGGCGGGCAGCCTTTTGGATATCCGTTAGCTTTGCACGGATGCGTTTGACTTTTGATGTTGACACAGTGACCATGGATAATGTGCAGTTGGAATTGGGGATAATACCTAACCTTACATTTAAAGGACACTTAGTTATACTTTGCAATTATATATTTTTTCACTTGGAAACAAAGCTCGAGTTCAAGAAGCAAGTTAAAGCGGGCATCAACCTTTGAGTTAAAAGACACCGAAATCAATTCATGAGATACAAATAAATTGTAGGTGCTAATGCAGCTTCAGTTTCAGCATATCTACTACTACTGTCTTTGGTTGATCCTCACAATAATTCCCTGAATAGAATTACTGAAACATTCATACCGGTATCAAGCAAATGACTCACATTTTGTATATAGACGACTGGCTGGTTATTTATGACGGTGTCATATGGTGGGGGTAACCCATGTTGTTCAGCACCTAGACGCTGAAGGTTATCATATACAGAAAATGCTGACGGAAAGCTGGGCTGGTCCCACATGGGCCCATGGCGCCCATCATTGGCTTCTGTATCTTGTTCGGAATCAAGGTTAGAGGCAGAATCTTGAACGACATCTTGTCCATGAAGTGCTTCCTGCACGGCTATAACTATATCAGGCTTTAAATAAGAATTTCATTCAGGAAAGAACTACTGGAAAGTTGCGAAAAAAAACACTAACCCCGATAGACGACTCCGAAGATATAGAATCCGGGGAATCCGACACATACATGGAGTCCGAGTCAAATGACCGAGTTGTAGTAATGCGAGAAGGGTTTGAAGCGGCTGGGATATTTGATCATGCTGGCATGGGTTGCTGATGAGTGGAGGGTGTAGTGCGCTGATGGGTAGTGGGAGTAGGTCGATGATGAGTAGTAGTTACAGTGGGTGTAGGTTGATGACGAGTAGTAGGTACAGTGGGTGTAGGCTGCCGACGAGTATGAGGACTAGATGCAGTTGCAGGGATCCTAGTAGAACGGTTTGGTCCTCCAGATGGAGTTTCACGAGTACGCTGTTGTCCCAGAAACCAAGTCTGAAAGTCGGGACGCTGCAAAACTTCAGCTAATGTTGGTGCGGGCCTTGGAGTGGCGGGTGTTGCAGTCATTGATATGTTTCTACGAGCGGTAGCAGGGTTTTGAATGGCTACAGGAAGGGGAGGGAATGGCAGTGAAACACGACTGCCATCCTGGAAGATATTGTTTTGAGTTAAACCTTGAAAAAAATCAGAGTTCAGCGTGAGCTACAAAAGTCCGAGACACACACCTGAATCACTAGGCGACTTTTGCCAATTCCTATCAAAAACAGTCTTGCGGACCCTATCCGCAATCAACGAAGCAAAAATGTCCTCCAGTAAGTCCATTGTTGGATTTAGATTGGCGTGGTTCAACTCCTGTTGCACGGTTTTCAATGGTGCAACTTTTCGTGTGGTGATGAGGACAGTAGGCTCGTTCAGCCCATTACCAGGCAATATTCTCGGCTGTCCAGGCCTATGATGATGGACTGTGCCACGCGGCTTGAAGATAATTTGGGCCTCCAGTGTCACCGCGATACTAGTTGCCTGCAATCCGAGTCAATGTTCCAAAATAATTAATCAGAGTTCGCAACGAGATACTAGTGCAGAACGTACGGTTTTGTTACAGTCGCAGGCTAAATCGAGCCATTGGAGGCTTGCAATCGAGTTCTTGAACATTGGCATTGAAGCTAGTCTGCTGGACAATAGATTTTTGAGAGTGAAGCAAGGAATTAAGAGGCTCCGAGAGGAATGAATGTCGGACTTAATATGCTGCAAATGTGGTCATAGTTAATATCACAATCATTGGCCTTACAGTGACCCATACTAACTTGAACACATCCTGTCCTATGGTGGTGATGGACGGAGGCTACCATTGGTTTACAGAGTCAGATAGCTTGCTGTGTGTCAGTGCCATGCAATGCGTACAGATGATAAATGTACATTCCGCTCTAGCGCTTGAGGCTATCATTGGATCGAAATAGTGTTCTGACTCGGAGTCAAACCAAGTTTGACTCCGAGTCTGAGCTTGAGTTAGTGACCACTGGCGGTTGAGCATCGAAACCTTAAACACAAGCTTGAGCGGATTATCTAGAAAGACTCAACAATAGCATAAATAGTGTTTACTTTGGTTACTTTGGAGTTGAACATAAATTTGGAGGCTTGTTTGTAGATGGGTTCGGAGATGGAGCTGGACAAATGGTGAATTACTGGGGACTTATTTGAGGAGTCTTGAGCAGATTATCTAGAAAGACTCAACGACAGCATAAATAGTGTTTACTTTGGTTACTTTGGAGTTGAACATAAATTTGGAGGCTTGTTTGTAGACGGGTTCAGAGATGGAGCTGGACAAATGGTGAATTACTGGGGAGCACATCGTGACTTATTTGAGGAGTCTAACTAATAGCACGAGTGGTATAGAGTTAATGGTACTACGCAATACATGATTCTAAACAAGCTGCTTCGTCACATAAGATATCATCTTCATCAACTTCGATGGGTGCAGCGCTCTGTAGCTCGTCGATCACTGCACCCTCATTTGCATCATTAGAGGTCTCCAGCACACAAACACCGCTAAAACCTGGCATTGCATATATTGCCTGGAGGCGCGCACGGTGAACATTGTTTATGCGCACACATTTATCATGTAGATGGTGGATCTCACAGGCAAGTGCAGGTTGGCTGACTTCCAACGACGTTGCAATAGTGAGCAAGTGAGCATCTTCGTCCCCGACCCACCTTTGAAGACGAGAGATCTCAACATTGAGACATTCAATTTCTTCACGTGCACGAACTATCCTGAAGTATTTGCCTGCCACCTCCCTGTTGGCTTTTGAGACCCAAGGTTTGGTTAAGACTTCCCGCCGTGAGCTTTTGAGCAGCTCAAACTCGCCAAGCCACGCATACGATGCAACCTCGCTAAACTTCAGTATGTCTCGTGGAGGGGATTGCAGAGGTGCAAGTCGATTGTAGTATTCAAGCACGTTGCGAATCGCAGTGGAACGGCGAGTTATTGCATTGGAAATCTGTTGGTGCATTTTATAACCTAGCATAATGAGTAGGTAGTAATGTATATTGTAATGGTGCACGTACCTGTACCGGCCAAGTTGGCCTTGGCAAGTTCAAACAATCTTTGCACAACGAGTCCTTCAAGATGTTGAACCGCACGTATAAACTGCCGATTATTCAAATATTTGAGCGCTTCTTGATATTCGGGATCACCGGGTGTCCAGCGCTTCATAAGATCAAGCCGGCGCTCCAAGTCATGGACTGTGTTCATCTCAAGAGCAAGTTTGTTATAGGCAGCTCGGCGTTCAGCTTCACGTGCTTTGGTCGCAGCTTGCGGACCTTTGCGTAGACCTGAGTTCTGTGTGAAATCGGCCAGCGCGTATGAAAGAAATTGAACGGAAGTAATGCTACCGTATCCAGCTCTATAAATATTTCAGAAGCGAAGTATTTGAGCACATGAGGCACCTACTCGGCCTTGGCTAATGACTGCAGTGCTTCGACATATGCGATCTTCTCGGGATCATACTCCGGCTCTGCAGCAAGAGCCTCCAGATATTGAAGTTCTTCAATATTCCATCGCTCGAAATCAGCATCCGAAAGATCGAGCTGTTGTTTCAACTCCTCAACAGCAGGCGTGAGTTCATCGATGAGGTGAAGCGCCTGCTTGTAGTTGTTGTACAGAAACTGACCTAAATGAGAAATGAGTTCATTCGTTTTATGAAGTTGACACTCGAGAAGTTAATCTTACTGAGTTCTTGATAGCGATCTTGATCCCATTGATCAAATTGAAGGTCGATAAATTGGAGCCAGTGAAAATATGATGCATGTCGTATAAGTGGGGCAACAGTGTTCGATCCTGCAAAGACACGCTCACAAGTCTCGAGATCTTCAATCCCAAGACCTTTCTGATAGAGCGTATGATACTGGAGTTGACAGCGGCGATTGTGAGCATGCCCGTGAAAAGCATTGACAATGAAACGATGGTTAGCTTTCTTGACTTTGTCAGCGACAGAACTTGCAGCAATTATCTTGGAAAAAGAACACCCAATGTCGTAGCCGGTCAGACCGTTGGCTCCGTACACGTCAATTAATTTGTTTGCCGTTGCGAGAGCATATTTTGCACTTCATAAATACATATAATAGTTTAAGCGAGTGAAATGAGAAAAGAAAAGTTGTACATACAGTTCACCACTTCGCCGGAGTTCAACTAAAGTTTGAATAATGCCATGGCGACATGCGCTCACGAAGACGCCAGTCTGATCGAAGACGTTAGTGCTATTTTCGGAGGTCGTGTTGGCGACCTTCCAGTTTTCAGTACACGTCGTCGAGCCATCCGAAGTTGGAACATTTGAGAGATGGGTCTCATTGCCTGCGGTTGCTCCTGGGCAAAGGCGAACATCGTCTTTGAATAAATCCACCTCAGCAGCAGGAATAAGATAAGAAGATTGAAAAAAATGTTCGTCGGCATGGCCAGAACCATCAACACGTTTCAGTGAGTTGTTGCCATCAAAGGCGTCGAGTCGTGCAGGATAGAGAGGAGGCTCGTCAGGTTGCTGTCATACACAGCATGGTAAGTGCACTTGCAACGAATTTAAGCTGCGTACCTTGTAGTTGCATGCTGGACATGCATGGAGCATACGCCAGTCTGGCGTGTCTCGACCTAGTGCCTGATCGACCAGAGTTTTCACCTCTCGCACAATGGCAAGATATGCATCGAATGCGACCACGAACTGGTCATGTAATGACTGAAAATAAGTACACTATTCAATGTCAGTAACTGTTGTGATAGACATTGAACACTTACATTATGAAGAGCACATAGCACCTTGACCATGCCCTGCACGCTGAATGATGGCTTTCTCCGGCATATTTGGTGATAAAGCTCCAGACAACTCAAAGAGATCGCAAGCGTAGGTTGAAGAGGCGAGCAGCCGAGGTAGCCAGACTTCAGGAGCGATACATTAGCAAGTTCATCGGGGGCTTGATCAACACAATGTTCGAGTACATTGCCTGTAGATACAATAAGTAGCTGTTGATTTGATGAGAGTGAACTCACTAATATCAACCATGGTGACGTGAAAAGAAGTCATCGGTGCTTGAGCAGATGGTAAACAAGGGTTCTGCTTCCATAGCAAGAACGCCCGAGTGAGGGACGGCATTTGATCCCGCCATGCAGAATGCATAGCACGGTTGTGCATGAGGCGGCTGCAAGGTGCGCGTCGGTGACGGTGTCTACCTTGAATGCTACAAACAATCAGTTAGTGAGAAAATGAGAAGATACTGATGCGAGTAAACATACCACTTGAATACTTGCATTCGTGCAACACTAACTGCATGCCGGTCATGACCAGCAACTGGAGAGTGCATCTCACTACCCTCGTCCTCTTCTGTGGAGTCGTCACCATCCATAGCCACTGCTGCACCGACGATATCGCCAAAGTCCGCAAAGGAGTCGTCGACATTGTTTGAGTAGTTGTTCGTGTAGATGGCTGCCTCAGCAAGGACTTGTCGTGTGGCAGCACTCAGCTCTGATATTCCATTGTGAGGATTCAAAAAGTAAGAAAAATGCACGCTATGTACCTCGATGATTCTCCAAGTTTTCTCGTTCAAGTGCAAGTCGATCTGCACGAATTTTACTGAGGTTGGCTCTCGATGTTCTGAAGGTACCGGTATCTGCGATGATCGTTTCATGAACGGAGCCAAAAGTGGAATTAAACTTGCGTTTGCGGTTGGACATAGTGGAAGAGACAAGGAGGTGTGGGAACTACGATAGACCATGAGGACAAGGATATGGAAATAGGGAGAAGTCGGAGAATGGTGAACATGCTGATAGCGTGCGTATGTGCATGTATTGTAGTGAAGATCTAGTGAAAAGGCGGACGTGAAGACAATAAACAATGAGTGAAACAACGAGCTCACCACAGCAGACGACCTGCATGACAATCCAGCAATAATGAGAGGTCATGGAAAGTGGGATACCGTATCAATTGCATGGAAAGATAAAACAGAAAAGGTCCGGGGAAATTTGGGTAGAAAATAAGTGAAAAATGGAGCTCAACGTCACGCACGACGAGCACAGGTGAGAACATTGTCGTGAGAAGGTGCGGCACAGTGAATCAGTGCCATAACCAGAAATGTCCACTCATACCTATTTAGGGTAGTAAGGCAACAGCGCCTCATCGGTATTAAATAAGCCGTAGGGAGCTCTGATTTTTCCCAAGGGACTGCCGGTTTGCTGATATTATTGCTGGTATGAGGGGACAGTAATATTTGTTACTAATTAGTAAAAGGATGGGGTACGTGATACATTTACTAATTAGTAATATTAATAGTGACACTCAGGTGAGGGCCTGCTTTTCCTCCATACTCTGCCGGACCCGCCATCAGCCACACCTTCATGATACTTCCTACCTCCTTCAGTCACTTTCACAATGTGCACCCCGACGTATGGCGGATTGCACTGCTCATTATCAGGTACATCATGGCCATCATCATCATTAGAATTTTTAATCCTAGCCTCTTACACGCTTGTTTTCTGAGTCACCTCTACCTCAATCTCTTATTTCACTAATTTTAGGTCTATCATGATGACAAACCGATCACATGATCATACATTTACATGGCAATGGGATGACTCATGTGTCATTATGATACTCTCTCACTGTAACCACCATCTCTACTTGAGTTCATTCTCCCAACCTCGCTTTCAACACGCACCTCTGACTTACTATTTCTTCACTTCTCTTCAGAATGAGCTGATGCCAGGGCAACTCAGAATCAACGAGGTGTGGAGGGACGGTCAGTGAAATGCATTAACATTTGGCTTCATTTGCGTGTTTGACAGTGAGGTGAGTCTTTTTTTCATTCATTCGCACCCTTGTCTGATTATACACGAGCACCCTTTCCACTACCCATATCTGTGACTGTCTCACTTTCGTTGTCCAATGACTGCAATGTCACTGTCTCGCTCTCTACGCCTGCCTTACCCGTGTCTGACCAGCCGAAGACAAAACCCATCTGTCGTGGCCTCGTGCAATATCCTTCAACGTTTGGTCCAAACTCCCTTGTCCACTCTATCATGACGTGTATCGCTTGATGTGAGTCACTGGCTTTTTCTTTTTTGTTGGCTCTTTCTGACCGAACGCCAAATGCAGTCAATCGTTGAGCACAAGCCATGAACATTTTGCGAAATACATGGCAAGCAAGACGACCTCTCGCCTGGATAGAGTCATACAGCATTTTGAGTTGGTCCTGGGGCCAATGTCCACTTTCCTTACCTCGTGTTTCTTACACCATGTACAGTTGTTCTGCCATAGTGGAAATGTCATTATAATTTTTTGCAGAATTCATATTTAGCATGATAGTAATGCTCATCGAATCCTTAATAACGAGATCGTCACAATTCAGTCGGAATGTTGTTGGAATGAAATTGTCACGACGTTGAGATGAAAATATGACTTAGTTGTGACACCATTAAAATGATAATAAAATCTGAAATGCTCATCACATCCTTCTTATGAGACTGGTCAGAATGTCATCGAAATACAATTGTTATGGCATGGAGATGACGTTGTGACTCGATTGTAATAGCATTAAAATCTGCATTAAAATAACATGATAATGCTTATTAATATGTTGACTGTTTGATTATAATCTATTATAATTGGGCCGTGTCGTTAGGCCATTGTAATCCATCAGAATGCCGTAAAAGAATTTCTGACAAAAGACAATGTAGAAACTCGAAACCTGGAGAATGGGAGATGGGAGGACAGGAAATTGTGGGAAACCGGACGTGTTTTCAAGCGCCGACTAAAATAGTGTCGCCCTTTGGGAACTTAGCACGATCTTGGTAACTGTACATGTACATGGCATTAAATAATGAAAAAAGATGTGTTTGAGCAGGGCAAGGCAGATATGTGATTAGATTTGAGTGTTTTCCCTACTGTAATTGTTATGATAGTATTTGTATACATAACATATAATACAATTACAGACGGGAAAAACAAACATGAAATAAAAGAGATTGGGGGATGAATGACAGAAGGTAATGAAAAAATAACAAAAGGGAGAAAAAGACCACTTGGAGACTCAAAAACTGGAGAATGGGAGGACAGGAAAATGGGAATGGGAAAAAGAGAGAACCAGAGGACGGGAGACGGGAGACGGGAGACGGGAGACGGGAGACGGGAGACGGGAGACGGGAGACGGGAGACGGGAGACGGGAGACGGGAGACGGGAGACGGGAGACGGGAGACGGGAGACGGGAGACGGGAGACGGGAGACGGGAGACGGGAGACGGGAGACGGGAGACGGGAGACGGGAGACGGGAGACGGGAGACGGGAGACAATAGGAGATGGGGGGCAGGGAAAATGGGAAAATAAATACATTCAATGATACTGTTACATATTTTATAACTTTTTGTTGTGTAGTAGATTGTATTTTTACATTTGTCAAAATCCTGCTCAAAAAAACATAGAACTGACTGATCTTATGTATTATGTACTTTTATGTGGTGTGATAGATTGTACCTTGAGTTTTTTTGAAAAGCTGCTCATAAATGTATTTCAAAATTATTCAAAATGTACAATTTATTAGGATGCAGCCTGAGGCCAGGAAGCCAAAGGAGGGCGCAGCCCTCCTTGGCTTCCTGTGACGAAGGAACAATGCTCATCAGGAGCTTTCAGAATTATTGGGATGAAGCTGAGGCCAGGAAGCCAAAAAAAGAGTGCGAAGCACTCTTTTTTGCTTCCTGTGCCGAAGGCAGAACGGGTGCGGACTAGTTCGAACTTGGGTGTTGTCCATTGAATTGCAACGTGCCGGCATCATTCTGTTCTCATGGTGTTCCTTAGCCAGTTCCCTTGCATATGATCTTGTTTTTTTTTAGAATTTCAGACCCGGCTTCTGTTGATGAGCATCACTACCATTACAGTCTCCAGGTATGTATATGAAATTGTAACATTTGATTTCGACTTACTAATCATCACAATTCATGAGTCTCAACCGGGCCACTCCCTCCCACTCAACTAGCTTGATAATATGGCTGCTCCAGTTGTTCCAAGTAGCTTTCAGATTTAAAAGTACGTCTGACAATTAAAATCTTGCACGCTGAAACGCATGCATGAATTGCTGCAGCTCATACGTCGAAGATCCCAAATGGCAAATTAAATTATAATTTGGTGCTCTGGCTTGGCACTGGCTGTGACTGTCTCTGTTCCAAGTTTAATTCTTGGTCTGAGACATGGGCGTTCTCCCAAGGGAATCACTGGAATCTCAGAGACCAATTGTCATATCCCGTATTCCGGACCTACATCTGATAATGTTCCCACGCCTCATCCGGACCTTCGGACGCCCTATCCATGTCTCCAGTCGTCTATCCATCCGGATCCTTGCACATATATCCACGCGTCTCATCCGGACGTCCGGTCCGGTCCGATCCGATATACAATAAGCTTCCTAATTCATTCCTGTGCATATAACGTTAACACAGCCTATTCCTCTATTCGGTATTCCTTGTCCTCGGTATCTCGGTTATACTTACTACCGGTATGCTTACTGATCCGTTAACCTATGCTTTATTTCCGACTCGTGCTTGATAACTTTGCTTATGCTTTATACATAGCCTCGGACGCTTGCTTACTGATCTTTCCGTTATTTCCTTAGTATATAAACTCTTGTATATGTCCTGTAGTTCCTCAGTCTGAATATCATATTAGTCCTCGCACTAGATCTCACTCTAAGTCCTCATATCAGTTCTAGTCTATCGACTTAGTCAATATCCATCTCAGGCCTAGGGAGAAATTCCCTAGGCCAGAGCTCCGCTTATCCGCTCATCTGCTTATCCGCTCATCTGATCCTCCGAAGTTTCCGGACGTTCGTCCGAAACTTTCCCGCGGTCCTCCGGACCTATTCTGCTTCGGACTTTGTCCTTGCAGCCTTTCCTCTGTTTGCGTCTACTTAGGACTTGTCATAAGTAGCCATTACACGTATCCGTATCAGGACGAAACCTCATTGTAATTTCCGGAAGCTCCTCCGGAACTTTCCCGCACTCGTCCGGAAGTTACTTGCACTCGTCCGGAATGTCCTTCCGAACTTTCCCGCGCTTCGGACGTCCTTCGGACATCATTCTGAAATTAAGGGCACATACTCGGGTAAGGGGCGCAGCGCACAAGCTGAAGCCAAGCCCCTTGGAATCAGTCCTACCCTTTGTGCACGGTCTTAACACCAATGGATATTGATCCCATTCCGATGGCAAGGAGCCACCGCCTATCCGTCGAAGACACCATAAATTGGTTGGAGCTTGGAATGCTCTTATCTCACCGATGTGTTGGTCTCCTCCGAAGCTCGGGCTCAATCTCGGACAAAGTGCGTATCGAGAGTGTTTGTTACTGACAGGAAAAACTGACACATTGTAATATTTAGTCATAGTTTTATTGGCGCACCTCGCAGCTGTGCTCGTCTGCATCATAAAGGATGCACCTCTTATTTCTAATCCGAACAGAGCTACCAGGTGAGTCAGTCAATCTGTTCATGCATGAGAGGAACTTATTTGGGTCACTTAGGATTTCTCGCAGTTTCTGGTCGTCTTTTTGTTCGCAACAAAAAACTCAAGTCCGTCCTTATTGTTAGGACCAGGGAATGGCTACGAGAAACTCAACTTTTCGCATAGGATGGCAGGAAGAACCATGTTTCTCGCTGGATGCATCCATGGGTCAGTCCATGTAGATTTGCAATCATCTGCAGTATGGACTTGCAATTCTTCGTCCGCAGAAAGGGACTTCTGGAGTGGCTTTGTTCGCCCTCCTTTCCATCATCGTCCTTACATCTTTGAGGCCAGTCAGGAGACTGTTTTATGAGTCTTTCTTCGTCGTCCAGTAAGGTTTGTTGCCTGCGTCGTATCACAACTAACCTTTTCTGAAGCATTTTGACATATGTGGCATTCTTTGTCACCATATGCTACCATACGTTGTATGCATCGCCGTGGATATTCCCTCCCCTTGCATTTTATGGAGCGGACATTTTATTGCGCCTATTCCGCTATCGAATCAAGGATGCCACCCTGACTGCACAGGATGTTCACATGAGTTTGGTATAGTATTCGAATGTTATTGGATGCACCGTTGACTTCATCTTTTCACAGATCCGCGTTCATAATTGCGATGATGGCTGGCTTGCTGGCCAGCATATCAGATTGCGTGTTTTCTTCTCTGACAGAGTTTTTGAATCACATCCTTTCACTATCCTCTCGGCACCACCATCCCATTCTTGCCTCTCCTCACCTAGGTTCCTTCTCACGGCACGAAGCGATGGAGACTGGACACGGGCATTGAGTGACTATACCTGACAGCAACAAGCACGTTCACAAATCAATGAGAAGCCTGAGGGCGACTCGGGTGCTTTCGTTCAAGTCATGCTGGATGGTCCTTATGGAGGGTCGAGCGTCAATCTGGGTCTGTACGAAAGCATGTTTCTTCTAGCTGGCGGGTCTAGGGTCACATTCACTCTTGGTCTGCTGGATGACATCGTCAGCAGGTGTGTCAAACTAGGCCGCAGTGAGGAGGAACGAACGAGGAGAATTGAATGTACTTAGATCATTCGGTATCTCATTTTTGACCACAGGCATCACATCATTCTGATCTATTTGCACAGGTCAGATAGATATTGCTACGGCAGCGTCAAATAGCACCAGACCTGCACATTTCTATTTTCGTGACATGCCTTTGCGATCCAGAAACGGTACCTGATATCCCTAACTCCATCGTCACATTCTCGTGTCCATCTATTCAGGATCTTCTCAAGGACTTCATCAGTCTTCCACCATCGTCTGAAAAGGAAGATTCGATCGAAACCCGATGTGACGAAAGTCAGAAATTGATGGTCTTGGGTGGTGGAGTCGCGGTCTGTGCTAGCGGCCCCGTTTGGAAAGAAAAAGTATTCCTGAAGTATTGCGATACAGGCTATAAGACTTATAGTTGGCGTTATAGTTTTTATTCGGAGACTGATAGATAGATGTCAAGTGGTAGAGAATTTTTATTTCGGATATCTCCTGAATCATTATATATCCTTTACTCTCCGACGATCTCAGACACTCCGAAGTTCCGCTACGTTCGGCATATCGACTAAAGGTGAGTTCAGCTTGTTATTCTCAACACTCCCCCTCAAGCCGAAGTCATGCCCAAGTCACTGACAAATTTGCAGTGCTTCGGCTTATGTAACGACTTCATTAAAATGTCTGCCACCATGTTATCAGTGTGGCAATACTGTTCGTGGATTACTCCATCTTGTATCTTCTGTCTGATATAATGATCTTTTACATCGAAGTGTTTGGACCTCGAATGATATTGTGGGTCTCTCGCTATTGCCAATGCGGACATGTTATCGCCATGGAGAACGGTTGGAGCATTTTGAGGTATGTTTAATTCCTCAAAAAGGTTCCGAAGCCATATGGCCTCACGCACAGGTTTGTGTCGTTGTAATGCATTATTTGTTGTAAGTGTAGCGCACCTGTGATGCATTCTTGCTACAATTGTAGCGCTCTCCCCTCCCCTGCAGTACCACTGTATCCCGTGTGATGCATTCCTCTATCTTATTCATGCATTCCCCTCGCTGATGCATTCCCCTTGCTGATGCATTCCCCTCGTTGATGCATTCCCCTCGTTGTATCCCGTGTGATGCATTCCCGCCACTTTTGATGCATTCCCGCCACTGTTGATGCATTCCCGCCATTGCTGATGCATTCCCCGCTGCCCACCCTTCAGCATTTCCCGTGATGCATCCCGCCCTTCAATACCGTTGCAATTCCTCCCTCCTGCCCCACCTGTACCTGTAGGATTAATGTATCACTACCTACAACCATAAGACATTCGTGATACATGTATTATGGAGAGCTACAAGTGGTGTGATACATCGCTGTACAGTAGACTATAGGTTCCCGATGGCCCTAGTGCAATCCATTGGCCATGTCCGAGTATAGTACTGTGTTCTACTCAAGTTGTGCTCATGTTGTGCCCTGAGATTTGATCGAGCAATCTACGATCGAGCCGTCTAAGATTAATCGATTGAGCCTTGCTTCTCTTGCTGAGATCGAGCATCTGTGATCAATCTGCGATCAAGCCTGGATGCAAAAATGTGTATTGTGGTGCCTGAGAGTGCTGCTACACTACAAACACTATGTATTGTTCAAATCAAAACTCCATGACCGCAGGAGGTGCGTCAATTGAAGGACCGCTGTCATCCTCAGAAGCCGGCGTAGAACTCATAGAACTGAGATGAGAAACAAAGCTCCAACGAGCTTGGAATGAGGTCCGCATTGCAGAACGGAGTGCAGCTTGACGGTAGGCATATGCCTGCAAGCCCTCTTGCTCGGTAGTCTTCTCCGATGAGCGCAGCATTGTGCACTGATGCCACCAGGAACCTTGCCATTCCAGAAAGGCCAGTACTCGTCTCATTTCTTCAGCCAGCAACTCTACTTCCTCGGACCATCGAGCTGCGCGTGCGCGTGCCTTGCACCATTCTATACGAACACCTACATAAAGCAATCTGAGTCAGCTGTCGATAGCATCAACCAGAAACACTCACAATCTTGAACACTTTCATTCTCGGATGGACTGGTGTCGACATCTGTCGTCAGCCAGATCCACGAGATTGTCCCGGTGCCTTGAGTGCGATCACCTGTGAAATCGCCCATAGGCCGAATGTCCTCGTGTCTGAGGGGTCGAAGTGTTGCCTCCCAGCCCATCTCATCCAACCGACTGCTTAGTGATTCTATCGCTTGACGAGCGCACCTGTATCTCGCTACTGCCGCATCTTTCTTTGCTTCAACGCGTGCAATCAGATTTTGTGCACGGGTAGAAGCTGCTTGGCCCCATAAGTTCTTGTCTTTGAATTTGTAAATGTGCGAACGTAGACGAAGGTGGGAGCGGAGCTCGTTGAGGGCATCGTGAGCTTGTGCCTGCCGAAGTTTTCATTCGTGCTTCATTAAACGGTGATTGCAGTCGAGATGATTGAGGAGAGCTGATGGTAGATAGAGTGGAAAATCCTGCGGCTTAAGTGTTTGGGGGGAACCTGGACTTGGATTCGTTGATGAGCGCAGCGTGGAGACAATAGGCATATAGAGTTGTTGATAGTGGGTCCAGGAATCGATGCGTCTCTGTAGTGCATTAGTTCTATGAATGATGGCCTCTCTTTGATTTTCTGTGGGATGAAGCGAGAGGTCTGAAATGTCGCGTTTGAGCCGTTGTCTGTCATAAGATTTGAACAATGACTCGACACATGTTGAAAGAGAGACGTCACATACTGCAAGTCTTCTAATTCAATCCCACCACTAATGAGGACGCTAGGTGAGACATTGTCGTCGAGAGAGTGGTTGATCCCTTCCCGCAGCTCTTGTGCTTCCAATTCTGCAAGCTGTGACCTTACTGCGGCCTGCGTAATAGCTACACATACAGCAGATGATCAGCGCAAATTCATAGAATGTGTGGGCAGTGATGTACGAGCAAGCTTGCTTTCGAACGGATTTGGGCGAGTGTTGTCCTCCTCCCACATCTCAACTTCTGTTCCCCACTCGTCCAGAAGCGCAGGCTGAATTGTTCCTTCCAAATTGTACAAGGCAACACGATGTTCCCGTTCCCACTTTATGGCGTTTTCCATCTTGCGCTTCAATGTACGGCCTTGAGAGTCTGAAGTATCAGTGAGAGAAACATAATACTCGACAATGAAAACCCACCAAGTGTCGTTGTCTTTTTCCAATTCCAATCACCGAAGTGATCGTCTAAGGTGTCACGTCGAGTTCCTGGCCCCATTTCCTTCGTGCTAGATGCGACACGGTTGGCACTTGCCCAACCTCGTTCTGGTGCTTCACTGTCAGTCCTACCTACCCACTTGGTAAAGTTCCAGGAAAATGTGAGCTGACAGGCTGCGATATGGGCTGCGATATGAAACTTCGGTACGAAATATCGAACCAGCACATCGTCACGTGGTATATGAAGCCTAGCCGGCATGTGTTCCATTCTGTTCCATAGGTTTTTTGACCATTGACAGGCTATATCGTATGAGATATTTAGCACAGTCACTGTGAATCCGACAAGGGCCGAAAAAACGATATAATCCATATTTAAATACCTTGTAACACTGTCAGCTGGCTGAATGTGAAAAAAGTAGCAGAAAACATACCTTTCGCCTTTTTGTAGATCGCCTACCCCGTTTGGCAATTTGAATTCGTGTCGAGCGCAATCGATCGTGGCGTAGCCTCGCATTCAAGCGGGAATCTCCAGCGGGGGACTTGTCACTTGGACCTTGGTGCTATTTTTGATAATCAACCTACCGATCAGACTCGTCCATCAGATGCGCATCTCATGATCCAGGCCCAGTCATCACGTGGAAGTAATGTTACCTATAGATAGACTGAAGAACCACGATGCCATCAAACGAAGGCCAGGTACCAGGTCCAGAGAACCGTGGATTGAGTACCAGACCAGGATCCTCCACTGATACATTAGCCCTTATAGATTATAGACAGCTGTGGGTCTTAGGTATACATGTATCAGTATTGCCCTCTAATTGTAAGTACTTGATGTATTATTCTTACAGTATGGCCTGCCTGCCCTTACGGCGCATAGTAGATAGCACGCAGTGTATTGCCAAACATGTAATTACTGGTACATTCAATCTATGTCTTGGATATTCTCAGACTGGGCCAGAATCTCCGCCCAACGTGCTTCAAATGAAGCCGCTAGTTCTCGGCGTAAGAAAGCCTGACGCTTTGCATATGCTTAGTGATGTGCCAGGCCCGGCTTGAAGCCCTGGGCCAGCCCAAGCCGGGCCCAAATAGGCCGGGCCCAGCCCAGGCCTAAGTCACGGCCTGAGTAGGGCTTAGGCCTGGGCTTGGATTTAGACAAGCCTAAGCTGGCGGCCCAAGCCGCGGCTTTGGTACATAGAGTATATGACACCTTGTCACGTCAGTGGTCACGCCCCTTTGGCATGTTCTCATTACTGACTCTTACTATGACGCGATTCCTCTCAACTTCAACTACATACGCACGAAATGGTGAGTCGTGACCGAAAGCCTAGATCTGTTAATCTCAAATGGAACACAAGATCATCGTCCGCCTGGCCCGTTGGACACTGTGCGAAGACAAATGGTTCGTGGTTTTACTGCGATGACACATTTCCTCACTCATCACCGTGAAGCGTGAGGGGACTGCGAGGCCATCATTTGCGAGGTTCATTTTAGAACACCAGAAACAGTACCAGCTCGAAGACAAGCAACTGGGATACATTGCGGGAGGAATGTTTGCCGCCGGTTCTGATACGGTAAGTTACCGCGTTCATGCTCGAGAGTCTCAGGTGGAGACCTGTCACTCTTGGAGGTGTGTTTTATTTGAGCTGTGATGACGCGATAATGAACAACCACCTTGCAATACAGGCTTTGCGCATCGTGCAACTAAGGACATAATTTGGAATAACTACCTCATTCCTGCAGGTGCGACTGTTATTGGCAACCATTGGTCAGTAGGCATTCGTTTTTGTCCTCTCACATTTGGGTCTGACGCTCGTGCTTCAGGGCTATCGCAAATGATCCCAAGGTCTTCCCAGAACCACACAAGTTTAATCCTCATTCAAGGCGCCCAACCTACAATTGGATCCAAGGTTGGCGAGTGGTTTGTCGACCATTCGAAATACATCCCTCTTTGACTCACATACGGCAAGCGCAAGTACCTACGCCTTCTCGACGCTGCACTTCAGGTATCCGAGTTATAGTATTCAGCACTTACTCTTCTGGGCGTGCAGAATCAAAGTACTCGAGTGCTACCGATCGTCCATCTCCTCTCTCTCATTCTCGTTCTCCTCCTTGTCTTCTTCCCTTCTCCTGCTCTCATCCATCGTCCATATTCGTCTGAGCCACGTCAGCAGTTGCTGACATGTGCTGGGCGTTTGCGCATGGTGTTTGTGGTGTTGGGAACAGTATGGTGGAGCTTGGACATCGATTTGGGCCGTGGCTTGCATGGGCCTAAGCCCCAGCTTTGGGCCGGCTTGGGCTCACGGCTCAGGCTTGAAATCTGGTGAGCCTAAGCCCCCCCCAGGCCGAGCCTAAGTCGGGGCTTTGAGCCCAAGCTGGGCCAGAACATCACTACATATGCTACGCACCCATCCTGATGTTCCAAGCTGGTTGGAATGACACTATCTTGCCTTTCGTCCCAACGCGCTGCCTCCCACATCAAAAACACCAATATGCATCGCATCTCTTCTCGCAGAAGTTCTACTTCTTCTCCCCAACGCATTGCACGAGCCCTTGCCTTGCACCACTCGATCCGCATGTCTGCAGCACTGTCAGTGAGTAAGAATGATTTTGTTGTATCATGCGTACCTTCTAACCCCCCGGTATCATCCTTTTCACTTCCTCCGGCACCGCGCATGTTCCATATCCACGATAACTTTCGTCTGCCCTCCGATTCACCCCAGAGTAAGTCAGACATTGAGCGAATGTCCTGCCAATTCAAAGGCCGCAGTGACGACTGCCAGCCAGCCTCGCCCAAGAGTCCGCCAAAAATCACAAGGGCCTTGTGTGCACATTCGTATCTGCTAGCGGCAGCCTCGATCCTTGCATCAATCGTCTTGAGCGTGCTGCGGGCCCGGGTATTGGCTCCTTGCCCTCGAAGATTGCGATCTTTATATTTGAGAACTGCAGTCTGCGCACGGAGACTGGAGCGCAAAGAGCGAAGAGCGTCGTGACCTTGTGCGAATCTTAATCTCCATTCCGTCCGTTGCAAACGCTCATCACAAGGTGCCGATCTCCCGATTTGCGACGGTAGCCACAACTTGAATGTTTCAGAACTAGGTACAGAGGTCGTGTTTGTAGAGGTTGCTTGGTCGGAGAGTCGCATGGCAGAAATGTTAGGCATGTAAAGTGCTTGGATCTTTACCCAGGCTTCGATCCTGCGTTGTAGTGCGTTACTCCGCTCGACCAACTTGCCTTGCTGAGTATCTGTGGCATGTAAGCCACACCCAGCCTTGTCAGCTCTCAAACGTCGCCTGGGAAAAATTTAATGACGCCACGAGCAAGTATATGAGGGAAAAACATACTGTTGTTCCTCCAGCTCCAGCCCCGAGCTGATCAACACGCTGGGAGAACAGTCCTCGTGCAGTGCGAGGCAAGAACCACTCTGAATCTCCATTTCATCTTCCTTCGCGAGCGCCAGGCGAACAGAAGCTAGTGTGATGACTAGGATTACGACAAGTGAGGCACTTGCATCATTTCAACCAATAGGATCACGCACCGTCTGCATTGCGCTCAAATGGGTTGGGCTGAAGCGGGTCATCCTCCCAGGCCTCTACTTGTGTCCGCCACTGATCTAGAATCCCTCCGTAATCCTCTTTTAATCCTTCTGCCAAGTCGTTAAGTGCGGTTTGTTGATTCGCGCGCTCCGGCAATGCTTCTTTCATTTTGCGTAGCATGATAGTACCTAATTATCCAGGTGAGACTAGCCTCACAGCAGAACAAATACACGCACTGAGTCCCACCACTTTCTTCCAATTCCAATCACCGAAAAAATCATCTAAGGTATCACGCCTCGCACTGGGGCCCATCTCCTTCGTACTGGATGCCACAGGGTTAATGTTGGCCCAACCACGTTCCGGAGCTTCTCCATCCGTGCGACCAATGCCTCGCTTGAAATTGAATGAGAAGGTGGTCTGGCATTTTTCGATATGGGCTGGGAGGTGGAATTTAGGGACAAAGAAGTTAATAACCTTTGATACAAAATCGAAGCGCATCGAAATAGGAAAAGCGCTCATACGCTGCCGGAGTTTCTTGTGCCATTGGCAGGCAATGTCATACGAAACGTTTAGAGTCTGTATGGAAGTGTGACGAAGTGTCGGAAAAAAAAGGTAGTCCATATTGACGTATCTATCAACGTTCAGTCATGTAAATATCAGCAAACAAGTAGACTTACTTTTCTCCCTTCTGCAGATCTCCGATGGCATTGGGACGCTTCATATTATGACGCGCACAGTTGATAGTGCCAAGACCTGTAGCGGCTAACCCCCGACTGGTCTTCGTATCAGCCATATTAACAGCATTATGACTAGAGCACGTAGATTTCTAAAGGAAATTGATGAGGACCAATATAGCAATCACAAAGTAGGCTTACCTCTTGTTGGACATCAACTTTCTCTGCGAGTAACTCCTTGTATGCGCCCTCCTCAACGAAGTAAGCCCATCCGCGACTTAGACTTGGGTCCGTTGTATTGCTTGAAACAATTTTGCGCTTCAAATGGAAGTTCGCATCGATAGCCACGAACAATGCATAGATCCAGCTAAAAAAAACATCAGACAACAACAGAATGCAGTGTTTCTATCTCACCGTTTCACACGAGGAGCTTTCTCCCAATCGTCAGGTAAGTTTTTACCTGGATGTGGACAGGCTGGGCACAGGACGGTGCAATCACCTTCTTCTGTGGCGTCCACTCCATTAGGGTGATGCCCTCTCCCCGAACACTTGAGCATCTTCAAATGCCGCCATTCGCGGATCATTCTCATGAAAGATTCATATTGGTCCTAAAGAATTAGTTAGTAAGCCGCATTGTAATATCATGCAAGCACAAAAATTTGAATTACCAACCTTAACGGGTGCCAAGCCGGTGTTGTTGGTTCTACGCACGAGCGCACTATAGAACTTGTATGCCAAGACCTTCAACTCGAAAGACAACAAATGAAACTCTTCGAGGAGACGAAAGGTGGCTGCGGTTTTGGGGTCAGCCGTTGTTGAAGGAAACCAGGCAATGTGAAGTAGTTGTTGTGTGTGAGATTCCGCCTCCACACAGTCGCAGAAATCCAATAACACTTCGTGAATACCGTAGGAGTCCATGACAATGAAGTTATCATTGAAGGCACGACAAGGATTTGGGCATTTCTGGCCAAATGTATGGCCCAATTGAATTCGTAGACCGAGGCTCTTCAGGGTCGCACGTTCGAAATAACTACCATTCCATTTCTATGGAGGTTGGTCAGACATTGCCTTGTATAATAAAGAAACACTACACTAACCTGGAGCCTATGCAAAGGATGACGCTGGTGAGCGGCCATGATGCAAGCCGAACATCGAAGACCAATTCCAAAACAGTCTTGACACTGATAATTGGGGGAAGAACCACCGCAGTCGGAACAAGGAACTTCCTGGAGGCCACCTCTGCCTTCCATCCGCAACAGCTCCTCAAGGAATAGAGAGCGGTGCTCGATCCACATAAGTAACAGATGATCCTGAATTATGTGAGTAATTCTACGAGGTCATCAAACTCATGTACTTACTCCGGCAGTACGTCGTCTTTTCTGAGGCCGCCTATCATCCAATGAGGGTGTGATATCGACGTCCGATAGTCCACAAGTTTCGTCGAAAGGATCAGGTATGAAACCAGGCAAAGGTCCCGTGCAAGCGGCTGAGACAAGTCCACATTCTTGGGGGGTTCTATGTATGTCCGTGCATAGGTGATAGAACCGTCGTTGTGAACACAATATTGAGTGTGCTGTCGTTGTTGGACTGACTGCTTGGAAGTCTGTGAGTATGAATTGAGAGTTGGCTTCTTCTTTCGTTTTCTGGCTAGCGCCCGTAAGGATCGTTGGAGTTCCTCTGTACAGTGCATGACTTGGTGGGAGGGTAAAGATGATGGGCCCGAGGCAGACGCAGAATTTCCGCCTGCATTGCTGGAAGCGCTCATGCTCGTCAAACGGACTAGGATGTGTACACCCAAGTTATCCGGTCTTAGAGCTGTCACGCTACAAATTATTATTATTATTATTGAGTAGTACATGACAAGGGTTAAGCTATTCTTCACTTACCTGTGTTCCTGAACATCGTCGGTGAGCCTCGGTCTATTTGTGACCCACTGGGGATCCTTGAACGACATTAAGGTAATGCACTGACTATTCATTGAAGAATGCGTGCATCACGACGGATGGTGGCTTACATAATAACATCTTGGGTGAAATCGCGGCTTATTTCCGCACGCTATGGGCCTCCCGAACTTCGTTCTTTGAGATAACTTAAAAGTTGTGTAACGTGTTCATCCAGGTGAGTCAAAGTTCAACATTCAACCTCGTCGTCCTCTTCGACCAAACATGGTATCCCACAGCGTCACAAACCAGGAAAATCACGTTGTGCTGGGTATGTGTCTTGCCTGCTTGTTTTTTTCTGCCAGTTGTTCATGGTTTATAGATGCCATCTTGCGACTTCTATCTTCGCTAACGCTCTCTGCCAATGACACTCATAATCTCATTCAAGTCATTCTCGATAGCACTGATCTAGGCAACTCTAGTTCATCCACATCATCTGCCACTACCTTTCCCACCGCACAGCCGACCTCCAGTAGCACCTTGCTTTCACCCCCTCCCACACAGACTCTCCCACCGATCCCTTCTGCTACTCTGGCTCCACCTCCACCCCCTTCCACTACTCCAACTCAGTCCCCTGCCCCTTCCCAAAACACACAAATATTACCTGACCTCCCAATGACCAGTATCATGGTCAATGGGAAGGAAAGGTTCCAACATAATTATGAGGGTTTCACATTCGATGTTCCGCACAGAGCAGCTGATGGCCCGTTTTACCTCGTTACCCATGGTCGTCGGGTTGGTGTGTTTAGTACATGGTGCATCTTATTTTCTGATTATACTAGCTTCTTTCTCTTACACTATCTCAGGAGTCGAACTTCTCTCCATGTGATTGGTGTTAGTCACTCGACTTACACTCGTGCGAGGTCCCGGAGCGATGCCTTGATTCGCATGCTCGATGCAATCAATCTTGAAGAAGTGGAATGGCTTACTTGAGAATACAATTTCAACTACTGTACCAGTGTTCTGTATGCAATACAATCAATTTTCGTTTATTGTCATCGCATCCAAGGCCCCATGCTGAGTAGCATGCAATGAATATTTCTTGGGATATTGCTGCAGTATTTCGCATTACAAGGATGAACTAAATGAACCAAGATCTAGTCAAGAAATGTGTGAATCTAGAGACGTATACCCTTCTGGTACATCAACTCTCCCATCGAGTGGGCTACTGTCAATTCAGAAATCCCTTCAATGTCTAAAAAATACTGAATATCGTCTAGATAAGCGAGTGCAGTGCTTAAGTATCGAGAGACTGATTCAGCGGCACGAGACTGATCTGACACTCCACAGGAATCCTTGATCAGATCATGCACCGGAGTTGCACGGCGGAGCAAGCCTTCAACCTTAGCTTTTGCAGTTTCGATGATCGAGGGGTCACCTTTGCCATACCCATCATCCGGCAAGCTTTTGACATACCAAAGGAGAATGGTCTCTGTAAACGCGCAGGGTTCTCGCACTAACTCCAGCATCTCATCCTTGATCTCTTTGAGAGCGAGCAGGCACCCTGGGAGATCTGATCTGTAGGTCATTAATTATGTTTCATTTCATCTATTTATAAAACATGACATTGACATACAGTTTGTCGTTCTCGTCATCGCTTGTCTCGATCTCGGATGTAGTAGTGTCATCTTCGTCATAGCCCAACACTTCGGCAAGGGCCTTTTGAATCTCCAGTATCTCCTGTGATGGCTTGGTGATGCGAAGCTCTCGCCGCCTTTTCAATATATTATCTCTGTTTCTTTGAATTACTCATAGTCAGGACCTAGTGCCGTCACCGAAGAATTTATAACAAACTTTGCATAATGACGTCGGTGTCTTTCTCGAGCTGCTGATTGTTTGGCTTCCTCTGTCTTGTAAATGGAAGGACGTGCCATGATGGTGTTGGTTGGGATGTTAGGGAAATTTGGTTGAAAAGAAGTACAAATAGTTTAAGTGTGGTCGGACGATAACTTGCGCATTCACTAGTAGGACAGAACTAGTGACTCTACATGAATGTTGCGTTGCAATATATCAAATCCTTTCATACATATTTACATTGTGAACATGGACTTATTGTGTTATGGCTGAATGATTAACTAGTAACTTAAATGTGCCTAGGACTTAAAGACTTTCAATGAAGTTGATCGGACGAAAACGCACTTGTGGTCAGACGAAAACGAATAGGCATTATATTTGCATTATATCATCCTTAAGCTTCACCATTCAATCTTCAAACTTCAAAATTCAACATTCATACAATGTATGCGGTGAACTGGTCACCTTCACCCTTGGCTTTAAAAGCTCTCTCCCTTGGCGCTCTAAAATGAATAGGCATTATATCATCCTTAAGCTTCATCCTTCAATCTTTAATCTTCAAAATTCAAATGGCCTGCATTCATACAACGTATGTGGTGCACTGGTCACCTTCACCCTTGGCTTTAAAAGCTCTCTCCCTTGGCGCTCTATATGTCTCATCACCCCCATGTAAGTCATTTATGACTCTCGTCCCTCATGAAGAGAGAATCAAGCTCCCTTCATTGCGGAGGGTGCGACAGTTACTCGACCTTACTTTATTCTCATTCAGTGGCACGCGCACGCCGCTCCTCATACCGCCAGATATGGTGGGGAGCACGGAAAGTGTCGCTTGGACTTATCCGAGTCTAGACTTTCACCATGAACAAATGATGGACAATGTACTAGCTGAGAGTCTGGAGCACAGGTTGTGACCAGGATCTGTGTCAGCGTGCGAGTGTTAAGGCTTAGGTAGTAGAAGAATACATTGTATATCGTTGACTGGATCTGCAGCATGTCGGCGACACTGAGTAACACACTATGTTGAACTTACGACTATCTCCTGGCATCATTACATCAATTGATGAGGTGTCGGGCGTCGTCGGGAATTGGTGCATACATGGTGTTACAATGTCATTATTAGGAACTCAGTACCTAGTCACTCGGTCACTGGGGGCACCAGAGATGGCACCAACAAAGAAGCATGAGTAATAGTACAATTTGGAAACCTGTAAACGATTTTGAATAAATTTAGACGCTGGAACTAACTGGATCCTCCACACACTTGATTTTGGTGTCCCGAGGCAACAAATGAAAAAAAAACGGTCTGTGCATGCGATGATGAATGTGCGCCTCCAGGATACATAAGACTTCTATAACAATGATCGATCGAGCAGACACTTGCCTAAATATTTGCTAACGCCATATGTTTGTGCTGAGAACTTATATCATTAACAGTACGACATTGCACTATTTTATTACTCACATGGGACTGATTGGTGTATTATAGATGCCGGCAGCTACATGGGCCTCGAAGGAACAGACATGCTGGCTTCGAGAACAATTCCCAGCATATCTGGAGTGCGCAAAAGAGGGAGACTATACTCATTTCTGGCCTATACTCTATGCCGGATGGTTCAGAAAGTACCCGGAACACACAGTCCTCTTTCCCGACATCCCTGAGAGTTTGCTTTCTGCGGAGCAACTTGCCGATGTCACTGAGGTGAAGGCCACGCGTAAGGTGGTAAGTGAATTTTTCACCTAATAGAATAGCACGGCACTGACCAGTATTCTCACCTCAGCAACTTCAGACCTGGTTCCGCTGGCGCACGAATGGTTCAAAAAAAAATCGCAGCTTGAAGAAGAAGTGTACTGTTTTCGATGATGCCTTGCAGCCGAAGAGACGTGTAAAATCCGAGGCCGAGATCTATTCCGAAGTATATTATGACGAACATATTAAGCCATTGGTCATGGCGGAGGCAGAAGCCGGCAACGTGACGACTTCTGGCAAGCGTGTGGCACTTGGCCGAAAGTTTTCGAAGGAGCTGCTTGAAGATGAGTCCGAGGACGTCAAGGCTGAAATTCGTGCGAAATATGAGGAACGGATGAAAGCAGTCAAGAAGGGCACCAAACATAGAACTCACACTCTTGACGACAACGACAGTGATGATAACGAGGTGGATGCGGAGGTCATCGCACAGTATGTTTCGTTTTGTTCTAAAAGTTCTATTCAGATGGGCTAATACCATTTACAGAGGTATTGATGACTTACCTGTGATTTGCCGTCGCTTTGCGCAGCTTGTGAAGCAGAAGACTCAATTCGTCGTCTCGTTCATGTTTGCTGGGCCTGATCCGAGGAATGACTGGGACATGACGACTTTATCATGAGTGGTGTGTATTTACTCTAAATTGGTGACTCACGATCAGAAGCTGTCACCCTTCGGAAACACCCGAAGGAAAATCCTTTCCTGCACTGTATGAGATGGCCGACAGAGCATTCTTGGAGGCCTTCCAGCAGTATGCGGAACAGATCTTCCATAAGTTTTTTTGAACCGGTTTTGAGGCCACTCACCAAATGCACATCCAGCTGCAAGTAAACGCAAGCCTGATGTTGCACCAAACGGAGACGATGACGAGGCCGAGGAAGGCGAGCCTAAGGAGGAGGAGGACAGACAGTTGGTAGAGGAAGGTTCTAGCCAAGGGGAAGAGACCCAGCCATGCGAGTTGGAAGGTGAGAGGACTGAGGTGGGGACGGCAAACTCTAGCAATGGTGAGTAGTCTGGTTCTTATACGTTCTTACATTGGTCTGATGCATCAAAGCCTTCCTTACAACCCCCGGCGCGTCATTGGCTGATGCATCAGCCGGTTCTGCAGCAGCCTTCCATCCAATCCCCGGTGCATCAGCGTCATCAGGTGAGGCATCAGTTACACCTGGTTCAGCTGATATTAATCATGCATCAATGATGCCTGATGTGTTGGCAGGGGTGATTGAGCAACCAGTAAGTACCTTTTACGCCATCTATTTCTTTGATATCTGATCTATTAATTTAGAATGACACGCAGTGCGGTAGTCATGAGTATGGGCCATATGGGGTGCAGACGGCCATGTTCAGGATGCAGACTGAGCTGCCGTACAATGTCCATGCTCCTCTGCCCTATGATACACAGGCCCATGCTACATACGGGCCACAAGCCTACCTTGGCTATAACTCGGCTGCTCATTCAACCTATGACTTGGACTTGCAGGCTCAGTACCATGCCCACACCCACGCTCATGTGGCTCAGGGCAGTCATGCATCACTCTCCGGACTTCATGCACCCTTCCTTCCTCACACCGATGCATCATTGCAGACAGGCAACTTCCCTGGCTTCAATACGCACCCTTCAGATTCATTCCCACAGGCTCTCATCACCCCCAACTTCTCGTTTACTGAGGGGTCACAGCATTCAAACTGGAACTTCAATGACATAGGATTTCTCACTCCTCGAGACGGGTGGCGACTATCAGATCTTCTGTCCCCCACCTCTGCAGAGCGTAGTAGCCTGGCTGCTGGAATCAATGACGACTCACTTCCCATTCTGCCTTCGCCTCCCACCATGCCTTCGCCTCCCGCCATGCCTTCGCCTCCCGCCATGCCTTTGCCTGTTGTGCCTCCTCTCGTTCCAGCTCCAGGTACAGATGGGACTTCTTGCCCTCCTACCACGAAGGCTGGAGCAAAGCCAAAGCCTGCAAACCAGCGTCCCAATGCCAAGTCCACGAGGAACTCCAAACCCTCGCCTGCGGCTGACACAACTACGCAGCCTGCCTCTGCTGTGCCTTCCACCAAGAAGAGAAAAGCCAGAGCAGCGGCCACAGAACCTGCCCCCAATCCTGAGGTCAGCGCCACAACAACCACGCCCTTACCTGTTCCTGGTGTCCCTGAAGGCACCACAAGTCAGCCGGAGGGGGTCAATGTTGACTCTACAGTATGCATCAAACGTGTGCCGAAAAAGTCTAGGCGTAATGAGGCTGCAGATGCGATTGGCACTGACGGTGTTTCATTCTTTGCTGGCAAGGAAAATGCGTGCCTAGATGCAGAAGGAGCGTCTTTATTGAAACGGCCTGCGCAGAATGAAGTTCCCGGCACTCCCAAGTATGTAACTGTTCTTACTTCTTTTTGTACATACTGACGTCCATCAGGAAAAAGTGTTCCAAGGCTTAATTTGTTCTCAGACGCATCCCAGTCGTACTCTTACAATTATCCCAATAGTACTTAGCATCTTGATAACACCCTTAACAATTTGTCCCCGTAGTGTCTTATACTATCTCTATCTTGTATTGTGTTCACGATGTGAATATAATATTTTGTTGTGCCTAAAATCTTCCTTGATTCCTTGAACACATAAGATAAGCTCTAGTATTAGTACGTCTGACCTCAATTATAGTCTTGAACGAGTGGACTTAGGCAATGGAGATTACGTAGGCTGGGATGCAATTCATAAAGTACCATACTAGTATGGTGCTGCGTTGCGACTTGCCGGGTGGTGGTTGTATTTATTGTTGGATTTTTTTTTACCAGCGGAAGGGCACGTAATGAACAGTAGTATTCCTGAGCAAGTAGTATGAATGACTGCATAAGGTACACTAGTATATAAATTAACATAAGGGCGTGAAGGTGCGTAATGCATCAGTGCTAAAATGGCTGAGGGCGGTGGGAGGCGGGAGGCGTGCAGGTGCGTAATGCATCAATGCTAAAATGGCCGAGGGCGGTGGGAGGTGGGAGGCACGCAGGTGCGTGATGCATCAGTGCTAAAATGGCCGAGGGCGGTGGGAGGCGGGAGGTGCGCAGGTGCGTGATGCATCAGTGCTAAACTGGCCGAGGGCGGTGGGGAGGCGGGAGGCATGCAGGTGCGTAATGTATCAGTGCTAAAATGGCCGAGGGCGGTGGGAGGCGGGAGGCGTGCAGGTGCGTGATGCATCAATGCTAAATTGGCCGAGGGCGGTGGGAGGCGGGAGGCATGCAGGTGCGTAATGCATCAATACTAAATTGGCCGAGGGCAGTGGGAGGTGGGAGGCGTGCAGGTGCGTAATGCATCAGTGCTGAAATGGCCAAGGGCGGTGAGTGGGAGGCGCCTAAAATAACCGAGGTATTGTAACTGCGCAACGTGGGAGGCAGGCACATGCATGATGCATCGAATGTGCATCTCGAATGCATCAACGGATGATGCATCGAATGCATCACAGATGCACCATCCGTTGATGTATCAAACAAATGCATCATGGATACATCACCCTATACTGTCACTATGATGCATCAGTATTTGCAGGCCTACAGTTGTAAGACAAATGCATCACCACTATCCCTGCAATTACAGCATTTTCTTGCATTACTATGACAAGGACGCCTGCCTCACGTGTTGCGTGGGCCATCGCAGTATATTCCGCTTCTGTTGATGAGAGGGATACTGCATTTTGCTTTTTAGAACTCCAGGTAATTGCTCCTCCTCCCAGTTTGAATACATATCCTGATATCGATAGTCGGTCTCTAGGATCGTTTGCATAATCTGCATCCGACCATCCGACAACTCGAATTTGCCCTTTATCAGGTTTCTCGTTCCCTTGATACTTGATTCCAAGTTCTCGCGTTCCTGCTAAGTATCTTAGTACACGTTTTGCTGCTACCCAATGCGCTAATCCTGGGTTCGCAGTAAACGAGCTAAGTCTCTGTATAGCGTATGCGATATCTGGACGTGTTGCTACGGCCAAATACATCAGCGATCCGATTAGTGATGCATAGGTATTACTCCGGTTGCCTTCCTGGTCTGTCGCTTCTTTCTCGAGCATAATTTTTGGATCTAACGGCATACCTACTGAATTACTCGACTCTAGACCTTGTTTTTGTAGAATCAATTCGATATATCTTGTTTGCGAGAGTTTAATCGACCTGTTCGGTCTATCTTGCGTAATTTCAATTCCTACAATCTTTTTTGGTTCTCCAAGGTCAGTAATATCGAGTATATTCTTCAGTTGCTCCTTTAATCGATCCATTAGACTCGAATGGTCTGCGAATAGCAACAGGTCGTCAACCCAGACGGTTATTATTTCCGTCCCTTCTGCAGATTCTCTGATGTAAGTGCATGGATCCGACTTTAGTCGTCTGAATCCGATTTTTGTTAGGCGTCCATTTAGTTCAAGGTTCCATTCTCTACCCGACTGTTTTAGGCCATAAAGGGTTTTCTTTAATCGGCATACTCGGCCGGTCCCATCATCATAGCCTTCGGGCTGTTTCATATATACTTCTTCTTTGAGTACGCCATTCAGGTACGCTCCTTTTACGTCCATCTGCTGTATTTCCCAATCGAGGGATGCAGCTGTGGACATTACTGAACATATTGTTTCTAGACGCACGACTGGTGAAAAAGTATCTGTGAAATCCATACCCGGTATTTGTGAATACCCTTTGGCTACCAACCGCGCCTTGTATTTGACTAATTCCCCCTCTTTGTTCGTTTTCTTTACTAGGACCCATTTATTTCCTACTAAGGTGCGATCTTTTGGGGGGTCAACCAATTCCCATGTACCCATTTGTTCTAATTGAGTGAGTTCAGTTCGTACTGCTTCTTCCCACTTTGGCCATTCATCTGACGCTTGCGCGTCCTTTAGTGATTTTGGCTCATGTGGTTCGAAGCTGCCGTTTGCCATATAGGCAGCTAGAACTACTTCTTCTTCATAGAGCTCTTCTTCGAGCTCATGTCTTTCGTGTGCAAAGTACGCCCACTCTGGTTCAGGGTCATTCAATTGGCGATAATCCTGTCTTACCGTCTGTCTCTTTGTCCTTCTAGGCGGCTCTATATCATCTGAATCTGTTGGGGGACGCTTTCTCTTTAGAATTGAGTTGTTTTCGTCTTTTCCTTTCAGATTTTCACGCTTATTTTGCCCTTCAGGATCTTCTACGGCATCTTTTGGATCCTCTATGGTATCTTTAGGTAATATAGCGCTATTTTGTGTTGTCTGCGCGTCTTTCCCTTCTAACTCCCCCTCACGCTGCACATCACGTACTTGCGCGATGTTATCTAGGAACCTATAGTTCTGTGATACATGAATTTGGTGCATCCGTGTATTATAATATTTTATTGCCTTTGGCCCGTCCGTAAATCCAACAAAGATTTGTTTTACAGATTTTGGGCTCATTTTTGATTGATTTGTGTCCTCTTGGAGCACATATACCGGCGCACCAAATTCCTGTAGGTGAGTTATATTAGGTTTCTTACCATTCCATAGCTGTTCTGGCATTGCACCTTGTAGCGCTCGCGTAGGCGCGTGGTTTCTGATATATGCGGCATGTGATACCGCTTCTGCCCATAAAGACTCCGGTAAGTCTTTTTCTATTAGCATCGCTTGTGCGAGCTCCGCTAATGTTCTGTTTAGTCTTTCAGACACGCCATTTTGCTCTGGTGAGTAAGGCGCTGTTGTCTGAAGTTCTATCCCCTCATTTTTACACCATGTTATTAGATCATTATTGATATATTCCGTTCCATTATCAACTCGGAATCTTTTTGGTTGGTCTGTCCAGCGCTTCTTTAGGTGTGTCGCATACTGTTTTACTTTGGTGGATGCTTCATTCTTATGCTTCATAAATTCGACGCTGCACCTTCGGGAGCAGTCGTTGGTGAAGGATATATAATACCTTGATCCACCAACAGATTGTACACGCGCTGGTCCCCAGACATCACTATGCGTTAATTCACCGAGTGATTTGGAACGTTTGTCTTTTGCATGCGGGAACAAATCTCTGGCATGCTTTGCTTGGATACAAGCCTCGCACTGTGGCATAGGTGAGTTATTGTCTAACACTTCCATACCTTCTACTAATCCTTCTTTATATAGGCGTTTCAAGCCGCTATAGGCTATGTGACCATATCTCTTATGCCAGGTGAGCCAATCCGTGGGTTTATTTTCTCGAGCGATATTTATTTTTGCCGTTTTATTTAGTTGCGCTCGGGTATTTTTTAATAGATATAACCCGTTTTGTAACTCTCCTTTGGCTATTATGCGTCCTCCAGGTGCTTTAAGAGTTACCCCGCCATTTCCCATGATTGCATGTCCTCCTTCTCTGTCTAGGCGGGTTATAGGCACGAGATTATTTGTTGCACTCGGTACATACAATACATTTCTCAATTTGCACCTCATTTTCATTTTTCCTACACTACTCACAAGTTCAACCATCCCTCGCCCTTCAGCCTTAATAGACTGGTTACTAATACCTGTAACCTTATGGGATTTTAATGGAACGTAGTCCGTTAATGCGGACTTAATCTTTGTGATGTGTGACGTGGTGCCTGAGTCAGCAAGCCAATCGTTGTTTACCAACTTGACTGCTTTACCTTGGCTATAGTTTGCCTCGGCTTGAGGTTCATTCGCTTCTTCTTCGATGACCTCTTCCATATCGTCGCCGACAAAAGCGACATTATCCTCCTCGTAATACTGCGCGTCTTCGACAATATCTTCAACGACGTCTTCGACGACATTCGCATTGTCTCTCCTAGCGCACTTAAGAGGAGGCTTTGACGGTCCTGCGCCCGCCTGTCCGCCACCTTTGCTCCAGCATGTCTCAATAGTGTGCCCGCTCTTATGGCAGTTGGAGCATTTGGTCTGCTTGTCCTTGAACCAACACTCTTTTTCAAGGTGACCGGACTTCTTGCATACTCCGCATCTCTTCATCTCCTTCCTATCTCTTTTCTTTTTCGGATTCTTCTCCTTCATGGTGAGCGCACTCTCTTTTCTTTTCCCTTTGCCATTGAGCTTTTCTTTCCTTCGCGCATTCTCCTCCATAATTAGGGAGATCAGTTCATGCGAAGTAATCGCCGTCGCGTCACCTATCCTGTTTTGATATGTCGTCGTGAAGGTGTCCCAAGACTCGGGCAAAGATGAGATAAGTACTGTGCAGAAGTCATCTTTCGCTACTAAACTTCCCATCATATGCAGGGTCTCTTGGATCTCCCTCATGTGCTTGACATGTGTTGGGATATCTTCATCATCATCGGCGAAGGTTCTATAGAACTTGCGCCTCCATGTGGTAATCGCTTGTTTGCCTCACGACGATAGGGAGGAACCAGTAGTTTGGTCCGTCATATTAGGGGTTTGTTTCGGTTAGATTTTTTGATCTTTTGTTAATGTTTTTATTTGCGTACGGCAGGGCTCATAACCTATTGCGATACAGGCTATAAGACTTATAGTTGGCATTATAGTTTTTATTCGGAGACTGATAGATAGATGTCAAGTAGTAGAGAATTTTTATTTCAGATATCTCCTGAATCATTATATATCCTTTACTCTCCGACGATCTCAGACACTCCGAAGTTCCGCTACGTTCGGCATATCGACTAAAGGTGAGTTCGGCTTGTTATTCTCAACATGAAGGATGGTTATAACAAGTGCACTGCGTATCTCAAAGCACTCACAAAAGCCATTTAGTTTTGATATGGATTTCCAAAAGCACAATAAACACAGGACAAGTGTTAGTAGTACTGTAAATTTGGTGAGAAGTGAATAGAGCACTATACTACATTGTTCCGTGCGCTTATTTTCAGGAGTAAATGAGGAGAAAGATATAGTTTGCTTTTGAACATGACATTGTGCCAATCAAGGTCACCACTTGTATTATTACATAAGGCCCAACCAAAGATTCGCCTATGTACGTGCTCGTAATGTTAATGAATAAGCATGACATAAATATTACATAAGCTGTGGCATCTTCTTCTTTTCTCTACACTGTTGAGTGTTGTCGCTGTTGTATCTTATACTGCTTTTTCGTGGGCTCTCTGTTCTGTTCTCCTATGTGCATTAACTTATCCTTTTCTGCAGTGTACGATATTCGTCTACAAATTCACGTGCCGCATCGCTCGTGTGCTTGACGAACGTTTGTTGTCTACCGCATGCGGTTGCCCATACCACCTCGGATTGCCCCAATTACTATGCTGGCCCTGAATTTCATCTGTCGTGCTTCGAATCCCCTGGAGACTTATGTTCTGGACTTTCGTGAGCGCTGAGGCCGTTGTTTGTTCGTGCAATTACTGTTTGCAGACTGTCACTAGTTTGACGGCGAGTCGATTGTGGTGACTCACAACAAAGTGTCCGTGTGATCATCTCTTCTTGTCTTTCAAGCATCGGTTGGCTTCTGATCAATGTTATGATGTATTGACGTCTGTTATTTCAGTTCCTTGCTCATTTCCGACACAGCTCCACTATGATCGCAAAACATTTGAGCGGCTCTCTGCGCTGGCTTTCTCACCTGTACTACTGCCTAGCACAAGGTCATCCCATTGTCTGTCCTCATTCTCGTGCTAAGATCGGTCATGGATCTGTATTTCGCATTCAGGAACGCCTTTTGTTTCCGCAGTCAGCCGGCTCTCAAATCATCCGTGGTCCTTTCCAACATGAAGACAAGATAACGGCGGAAGAAAAGGGTTCATATACAGGTTTGAAACCACATGACGGTCAGTTTCTCATGAACTTGTAGAGCTGCGGACAGAACCCTCCTAAGCGAATCTAGAACCTGGACTTAAAGAGGTCCAGGAACTCACGAAGACTTCGGAGGGTAGCCTACCTATCAGGGGCTGTAGTGACGGAGTTGCAGAGTATAATGGTGTCATTTTGCGACACTCATATGCACATGTGCTGGGCAACGAAACAAAGTATGTACAAAGTTCGTGCTTAGTCTTGAGTCATGTGTAGATGAGGGTAGGTCGTCACTCTTGTCATCACTTTCTTACAGTTTTGGTCTCAGCAAAGTCTTTAGCACTACAGTAAGGTCCCTAAGCTAGGGGAGAGGGAGCCTATCTGTCTAGACCTAGGGTTGTACTAAGATCAAGGGGACACGTACATTACCCCAATCTGACGGCACGCGGGTACCACTGGAAAAAAGGTCAGGAGCAACGCAAAGGCACTCAGAGCGAAGGGTAGGTAGGGCGCATAAAATGCAGATCCATTGTCCCAGATCTACTGTCGGTTAGGGCTCCATGACGGCATTTCTGACAGCGTCACGGTGATAAACACACAGGACAAGCATTAGTTTGGTGAGAAGTGAATAGAGCACTCTATATTGCATTGTTCTGCGCTCTTATTTTCAGGAGTAAATGAGGAGAAAGATATAGTTTGCTTTTGAAGTGGGATGAGTCCCTCAATGGTGAAGCAACGACGTTACGATCGGACTCGGACCGAACTGTATTATTACATAATATGAAGGTAAGTCGTAACCGGTAACCCTCTTCCTTACAGCTTTAATCATGATCTCGCACACGCTTGGACAATATCATGTTGCCTGTTCCTTTTGCAGAAAGATAGACATGCCACCACCGACGAGTCACGATGGTGAAATAAGGACAGCTGGTCAAGGGGGATCAAGGCTACATCGAATACCGGTTGTTATGCTTCCACAGAATCCACACCCATCGGACGAGGTTGCTGACTTTGTGCATCTTCAGGCAATCTTCTGAAGCTTCAGGTGCCGGTAAATGCAGCCTGCCGGAATGTCCAGCTTGGCGCGACGTGTCAAATCATCATATCTTTTGGTCCTCGCTCGGATCGGCAGTGTTTCTTTATCCGCCCCCTTTTGATTTTCAAATCCCAGTTGGTCGAGACGTTACGCGTTATGGTCAACCCGACCAAACAACTTGCTCTCTCTATATAATGTACAGTGTTCGAACGACTCATTTCAATCCAACCACAGCCAACAAATCATCTCTCCTGTTGAATATACAATCATGGTTTTCTACGCATATGTCAAACAGGTACCAAAATCCATTTTTCGTTGTCTGCGATGTCGTGCTAAATCGCTGTTCAGATCACGGACAACGTGACCTATCGATACACGATTACCTTTGATAGTCGCGAAGTTGCGGACGAGTGGTGGCGTGCCGTGTCCACTTCCACCGTCACTAGTTTCGTTACCAGTGTTCAGCGTGTCAACGCCCAGTTCTACACTCATAACGTGAACGTGGCAAACGCCGCCAACTCCCTCACCACGACTGGAGTTGCGACTGATTTCCTCGGCAAGGTGTTTTTCACCTTGGAGAATGACTTGGGTGGTCGTGGCTTGAGCATCATCCCACCGCTCGAACATTTCGCGGACCACATCAGCGGAAACTCGTAAGTCAGTTCCTTGCAGGACGTTCTGCATTTTTCTGATAGTGGCCCTACCAAAGTTTCTTCATTCGCTCCAAAGTCGCTCCTTACGACTATTGGTACTATCCCACATCGTCTAACACGACGAACGCGGTCTATGTTTCGCGCACCGAACGCACTCGCTTCACCGTTAGTCTCACCAGCGGTACTGCAGGGACCGTCATGATTGGCTCTGACGATGTCGTTATCACGTTGACCACCGCTGGTCTGTCGGTCAACGTCGATGCCACCACCGCTCAAGTGATTCTTTCACTTGCTCCTCTGACGGGGTTGACTCTTAGTACCCTTTTGACCAACTTCACCGTTGGGTCTTCCTTGTCTGTGAACGATGAGACCGTGAAGGAACTTTTCTACACGGTGAATGGGGAAGAGTGGGAACTCGCTTGAACTGCTATCATTTGACACAAAGCTGTCATGCACCCGGTACTGTTATAGTCTCTTCCCTAGATAGCCGAAAGTGTACTGTTAGTAACGCTATGAATTTTCTCTTGAACGCCTGCAATCACATGTACCACTGCTTTTGAGATAGACTGGTGATTACTAGTCCGTCAATGAGACGCCCTGGCTATGCCACTCATGCGTGGTTATACAAGCCAGGCTGGTCCCGAGCCTAGCTTGCGGCCTTTGAGATGTGTGAATCCTTTTGGCATCGACCTCTCCACTAACCTGGCATCCAAATGACTCAGACAAATTTGTACACATTCATTTTTTGTTAGTGATAATCAAACTCCAGGTGCGTGCCGTGCTGAATGGTATCTCCACCGGTAGGTCGTGGTCTCTAGTGTTCTCTACCCCCATGGCCATCACATCTGAGTCAAATATAGCATAAATACACATCTCTTTCAACTTGATTCGTTCATATTCAACACCAATTATACATTACTGCTATATTGTTCTTAGTTCAAGTTGCTACAGCGGGCCTCACCATGCTCTTCTCGTACCATTCCCTCTCGAACTCAATCGCCTTCTTGAGCGTCCCTGATGTGCGCCACCCATGTTGTTCGCCATCGAAGAAATGCGCCTCAACACGCCCTTTAGATTTAATGATCCCATCAATAATAGTCCAGGATTGTGCGGGCGGAACAATTGCATCATCATTGCCTTGAAGAACCTGTTGGAAAGATGATCTACCCAACACAACGGATTTCATCGAGAGATGAACATACGAGTAATGGGGTTTTGATGTTCGTAGAAAAATACACCGGGCTCCGGTCGTGCCAAACTTTCGGAATCTCTTCCCTTGTACCGCCAAGAAGCTTTATGATATACATGAGCTCGAACTTGTGCGTGTCTTCTGCAAAAAGCTCCATGTTTGAAACTCCGTAGCTGTTCGTGGCACTTGCAAAAAATTTCACTTTGCTCGCTGCGGAGGAGTCGAGGGAAATGGCAGCAAGGGTAGTAAACCCACCCGCACTCCCGCCCCGGATCGCAGTGCGTTTGGTATCGATGAGGGAGCTGATTTGAGGTGATTGGATTGCGCCAATGCAGTCGCTCACGTCGGTAATACCCCAGTTTCCTTGGAGGCGCTCCCTTTGTCACATCTTCAGCGTTGTTCCACGAGAAACACAACAGCGAATGGTAACATACACATATGCGCGCCCATAGCCCGAAGAGCCGCTGTAGTTTACATCCAACCTGCAATTTATGAGCGTGATGATACTTCGGTAGTCGACAGGACCTACCAAGCATATCCTCTGCTTGTGAAATACTGCTTCAGCCAGTTCAAATGCTGGGTCTCTAATCCTGTGGGACCACCGTGTACGCTAAGCACGCAGGGCGGCTTCTCGCCGGGAATGCTCGAACCCGCATACGCTGGGTTATTTGGGGCGTAGTACACAGCATATACGGTCTTGTCACCTGCCACTTTGAACTCAAGCGGGGTTGGAAGTGAAATGATGCCTTCAGGGAACGGAGCGGCAGACGCGGATGCGGTAGATCTGAGGACCTGGAAATTTGGCACGAATGATGGTCCTGTAAGAGTGCAGAGCATAGCTGCGCCGGGAGCGTTGCTTTGCAATCCCGTGAAGACGAAGGTGTAGTCCGACAGACGACAGACATTGTTTACCACTACAAAGTCGAACGATTCGTCTTTAATCTCTACGTAGGAACCTGTGGCGATATCAACCACATAAAGGACACTTCGGCCAGCCCGCCACGCAACACAGATAGCTTTTGTGCCATTCTCGTCCAGTAAGGCGAATGAGTAATTGTCAAGCGTCCAGGATGGCATGCAGAAGTCTTGCTGCACGACCGAAGAGAGGACTGGTTTGGTGCACGCCTGGGTATACTCCCACAGGTTTGCAAACTTGCTTTCGTCAGAGGTAAAGAGAAGCTTGTCGTTGGAAGCCCACAATGGATAACACGCGCTAAGATTGTTAGCTTCGCCGGCAACCAGCTTCGTGTTGCTCAGGCTAAGTGTATGAGTGCTGGAATTGTAATGGACGTCGGCCACGTAGATCTGTCCACCCTCCCAAGGCATGTCTGGGTGTTTCCAGAACTGCCATGCGAGCTTATCACCAGAAGGTGAAAATGTCGGTGCTGCATAGAACTCAATTTCTGCGTCCTCGGTGGAAACCAAGGACGTGACAGTGGCAGCTGAGGAGTTGACGACACAAAGAGAATTGCGCACGGTATGCGGCGTGTCGTTGGTATGGTCTTCCAAGATGGTGACGAGTAGATCTGTGTGGACCGGGTGTACACAGAAATCTGCGTAGCGATAAAGCTTATTTGGATCCTCTGTGCAGGGAGGTTAAGTACGGCGTTATAGTCCGAAGAATGTACCTAGGCACCTGGAGTGATTGGTTTGATATTCCCGTCTTTCGCGGCATAGATACGGAAGTCCATGAAGTTTGAAGAGTACACAGTCCCATTATAAGCGATTGCAGCACCTCCACCATATTCATGAACGCGCGTGCGCGCATTGAAGTCCTTGCCGAAGACCTCCTTTTGAGTCTTGTTACTCATAACTACACATCGACCACTCTCCGATGCACGCTGTTCGATGTAGTAGATATCCTTTGTGACTGGATCTACAAAGATGGCGGTCAAGGCGACACTCTAAGGTCACCACGTAGATTAGTTTGAAATGCCGAGCGATTAGAGACCATGTGAAAAACATACATCCTGAGCAATAGCATCGGCTGTTATGGGGGACTCCCAAAGGCCATATGGTGCGTATTTCTGAGCCATAGTATGATAAAACGTTCAATAAGACAGTCAGTAGATGAGATGGTTGTGTGGGAGTAAGATTGAAGTTGAAAGGGAGTGGGAGTTACATACCAACGAAGGCTTAAGCTTGGGTATTAGTTGTGGTATTTATGGTACATGCACCCTGACCGTGCACGTTTCAGTATTTCTGTCACCTGAGTGCTAGCTTGACCATTTTGGAACACGTCGATCATTGCATGAACCTCCGAGTCTCGCCTTTGCCGCCGTACGTGATGCATTGATGTTTGGATCAAAGGCTCTTGACAAACAACCACTTGATTGGGAAGCGATTTTGCAATTTCAAATTTCTTCTCTCAAACCGACCCACATGTCTGGTTGATCACAACATGACCAAGTACTACCTTACGCATACCTTTGCATTTTGACATTTCAATTCAAGAATTCAACATTTCACCAAATCTACCCAGGCAAACTGGTCTACGAACTTTCACTCATATCTCTGTTTTTCTGAAAAACTACGATGTTGGCGCAAACAGAGACGATGAATAGGCTCTTTCCACTCATATACGTGGTATGACTACACCAACTTGAACAGGTTGATCTAACACTTCGCGTTCGCGACTCAGTACTCAACGGAGGAATAGGCGACGACTTAATCCCGATGTTTATGATGGCCGTTTCATGCAAAACAATAACATCAATCTGATAGATCGTAGGGCGCACCAAGTACCCCAACGTGATGATGAAATACCATTCACCATTGGACAGAACCTGAGAGGAGGGGGCTTACCCAGACGATAGCTTTACTCGGGCCTTCGAAATGTCGTGACTTAGGTCAAGACAACTGGGTCAACTACAGAGTAAGTACATAATTTGCTCCACCGACTCGACCATGTCGACTAATCTGACTCTGTTGATCGACAGGGAGATGACGACGCACTATCTTTGAATCCGGATTGGTCACATACTTCGCATCCTCCTGAGTCCAACAGAATGGCCTTTAATCCAACGGTATCCATCACATCAGTCATCAATCGAATGAAGACTATGGTCCTTTTCGCTACCACTGACCATAATGATTGTCCCTCGGATATCTCTACTTCACACAGACGAGAACCCGTTAGCTTCATTCAGATAAAATTTAAATCCATAGATCACCAAGCCATCGTTCAGAGAACGTAGCGGAATCCTTTTTCTTCGATCCCTTGCTCCTGCTCTTCTCTCTCCAGCTTCTTGTTCAATGTCTTCAGATGCTGTCTGAGACTCCAAGTCATCGTGATCACGATAACGTTACAAGCGATCACAATGGTATAAGAGTATCGATAGGTAGGGCCCCAATTAGTTGGCCAGACGTACCTGCCATCTATTTCATCAATGAAATTTTAATAGTCGATTAAACTACTCACGACCCTGAGATGCTGCCTAGTTGCTGAATTGCATTGATAAGCGAAAAACATACTGCGCGCTTTGACGGCGGTCGCGCAAATGTGTTACTCTCCCACGTGGTCATCAAGACACTTGCTGAATTGGACTGCGCCAGGAGGAAGCTGTTGAGGAGGGCTGCTATCAGTGAGACGTCCGAAATTAACATTATGTGCCTACAGAGAGAAGTATCGGGCTGCAGTGTTCATGGTACATATCGAAATAAGAGACCCAATTATGCCAATGAGGTTCGAAATGCTCATGTGCAAGAACCTTTCTTGTGTTTTATCAGAGTGTCTGAGGAGGTCTTCAGACCAGTTCCTAGATTGTTTGATATCCCAGCTTACCTGGTCCACACGAATGTGAAAATGGCAGCATATATCCAAGGAGGCGCAACGAGGAGCAGCGATGCCGTTGGGTTGTAGCCAAGTGTTGCAGTCAGAGTAGGGAAATAGCCAGTGAAGGATGTCGCTATAATCTGAGCAATCAATAGTGTTGCGATCCACCACACCTTCCAGTCGGCGATGGCGAGGTAAAAGCCGTAACCGAAGCCACCGTTCTCAGTTTCTAACTGGTCTCCGACGCCAGCATCCTCCTCCATACGCTTCAGTGCAAGCCGGCGCTCGTCATCAGTAAGCCACTTTGTTGTCGTTGGAAAGTCCGGCAAAACAAAGACAGCCATTATCGCAACGGTGACAGTCAGACTTCCTTCGATATAAAAAAGCCACCTTATAAATGAAATTCAACAGAGTCCTTTGACAAATCAACTGGATTGAATTACCTCCACGCGGCTTGTGCACGGACGCCGTCCATGCTAGCAAGAATACCTGATGCGATGAGAGCTCCGAAGGCGTTACTGATCATGTTTCCGCTGTAATGGTGCTGTTAATGAATAGATATATCCACCAGCATAGTAGTACCCTTACCAATAGAGGATGGCTAATCTGGAACCTATCTCTGTTCTCTTGTACCTGTACATTTAATTTCAGGACTTCGGCTGAATACTCGATGATTGACGAACCACTTCGAAATCAAGAACACGGCGCCGGGAAAAAAAGCTGCTTCTATGAAGCCAAGAAAGAATCGCGTTAGGAGCGCTCCAACGAAACTATTACGAGGAGTATGGTCGGTCATCTGTCAGACATCAATGATCGGTCATACTTTGTAGTAATTCCAGTCAGCGCCGATATGACTCCCCAAATTACCATACAAGCAGGCATATAAAGCGACGGCTTTTTGATGTAATTGAGAAACATATTGGAGGGAACCTGCATAATAATATATCCGACATAGAGGATAGACAACAATGTCGGATATTGTGGACCCTCGAGATGGAGGTCGGTGGTGAGCTGTGTGCGTGCCGCACTTAATCTGTTGTGAATGATGCATCAGCGATTCATGACAAGGGCATACCTAGCGTTGTTTCGATCGATCTAGTACAAGAATGAGATATATATCAGGCGCCTTGACGCGAGGTTACTCACAAAATTGAGGATATAGATGAGGACCAGCATTGACATGTGCAGGTCGAGTTTCAATAACAACCTGCGCTCTAGCTGGTTTCGTGCCTCTATACCACCGAATTCTACATCGACATCGAGTTCTTTGCACTCAATATGCTCCTTCGAGGGTGAGATCGGTGCAGTGTCAGAAGGGTCAGACGCCATAAATGGGGTGATGATAGTGGGGTCTGAGGCCTGAGGGATAACCTCAACGGTTCGATGTGCCTTATAGATTGTGAAACGCAAGCCAATTTCATATCGATCAGTCTGTTGGTACCTTGGGCTGATGCGCCTTGGGGGTGCACGTGGAGTACCGGACCGTCATCACGAGTGATAGAAGCCTGGACAGATAACAGCCATTGTCCCGCCCACACGGTCCTGTTGGATTCCGTCTCGTAGAGTCATAGGATACTCGACAACCAACCATTCCGTTCTATAAAGATATTTTTCAATGGAGTTAGAGCTAGCTGGGAGTCTGAAAGTCACGTACGTTACGCAGGGTTGCTGGAGCCGCTCAAGACTACTAGTAAGTGTTCGTGCCTAATCCCGCAGCTGCATCAGAGAAGAGTCCGTAACATGGTAGCCGTGGCGACTATAGGATGACATAATTCTGCTTCTGCTAAATATCGTCACTGGTCAGTGCTAGTGATGATGGGGCTAACCGTCAAACATATGTACTGCAATGCTATGGGGAATGTGATATCTACCTGATTGCTTTTGGCTCGGTTAGGGTTTGGAGATGGCGCTCTGGAGAGCGAGTCTGTCTCAAGCTCAAGGTTAAACGCCAGCATGGCTACATCATCAACGCGTCATCGATGCGTCATCTGACGCTGATCGCACACCGCGTGCAGTGTCTCGACGCATATTTATATAAGTACTGAGTACTGAGACTGAACGTTGAACGAGTTGTTTGCAGCGGAGTTTGTCTTACTTAACCAGTTAGCCCACCAATATTATGTAATATTGCTTGCACATGTCTGATCAATCGATCACAAGATTCACAACTTGAAATTTTGAAAGCTTGACCGGTTGACCACTACTTTGCGCATACCGTAGCAGCAGCATACCTTTGCATTTTTCCAAGAATTCAACATCTCTCCAAATCCACCCAGGCAAACTGATTACCGGTCCACGAACTTTCACTCTTCTCTGAGAAACTACGATGTTTGCGCAAACAGAGACAACGAATGGGCTCTTTCGACTCATTCATGTGGTATGACTACCCCAACTTGAACAGGTTGATCTCGTGACTCAGGAGGCATAAGCTACAACTTGAAGACCGATGTTTATAGAGGCGATTCTAAGCAAAACAATGACATCGATCTTGACCGTAGGGCACTTCAGGCACTCCAACGTGATGTTTACAATACCCATCGTTTCCATTCATCGTTGAACAGAACTTGGGAGGAGAGGGCTTACCCGGCTGCCAGATGACAGGCCTTCGAAAAGTCGTGACTCAAGCCAAGGGGACTGGGTCAACTACGAGGTAAGTACACAATTTGCTCCACCGACTCGACCACGTCGACTAATCTGAATCTGTTCATCGACAGGAAGATAACGACGCTATCTTTGAATCGCGATTGGTCGCGTACATTCCCGGGCTCAACGGAAAGTTCTTTGCTCCAACAGTATCCATCAGATCAGTCATCAGTCAAATGAAATGAAGACCGTGGTCCTCTTCGCTACCCCACTGATCGTTCTCCTTTGGATATCTCCGCTTAACACAGACGAGAACACGTTAGCTTCCTTCAGATATCATCATCACGCGCATATCAAAGTCGGCTCACCTGACGAAGCGTGCGTCTAAAATGTCAAAAGAGATTGAGCCTTCCTCGTGGAAATGTGAGCGTTCCGAGGACTGATGGCCGCGTTTCAGGAATTGATATTGTTTCAAACTTACATAAAGGCAAGCTTCGAGCAAAGGACCAGTGCTAGGTGCGTTTGGCGGCCAAATAGGGTGACGCTCATGGTTCTCAGACATGATTGAATGCTTCTGGCACCAATTCTGATTTTCCATCAAATGGCGCATCACCGTGACCTGCTAGTACAACCTGTGACTTGAATTTGGTTAGTTGGCCTACGTAATATCCATAGGAGTGCAGTTTACCCTGGCGATTGAGCGAACGACGATTAGTATTCGAGTATAGTGCACTCAATTCATCTTAAATTTGAATAGGTTTGTCTGCAGATGGTACATTCGGCTGATACATCACTCGAAATTGGGTTCTTAGTATACATCAACGTGCGCAACAGGTAGGTAGGTTTCAATGGCATAACGATGGACAATCTCTCCGTAAACACTTATGACCACAACTACATTTCAAAGATGTCGGCCTGCATGTTCCACTCCTGATATGTGAGATAGTGAACTTCGCGAGCTGGACAGACAGAAAAAATACACTCAGACTCAATTGTTGGTCAGGTGAACATCACCATTATCTCGTCCAATTTGATATCGCAAAGAGGAGCATCGAAAGCTCTGTCATGAGACACCTCCACGAAAGTGAGGTACGTCGACACCTGCATATCGGATGGAAGGCCTATCGATGTCGTAGGTTGGAGGATCCCTAGTATAACTGGTAAGCTTGGCTGGCTCAAATCCCACTATCCAAGCAGAGGACAAGGTTGCAAACGAGTCGAGTACACAAGAACGCGTTGGTGAACATTTTAGTCGACAACAATACAACCTAGAGTATACGAAAACGAGATAGGGTATAGCTAGAGTGCAAGAATAGATTGAGCTCATTTTATTACAACAGTAAGAAAGAGGATCGCAAACCAACAACTTGTGAATATGTACCACACGACAGAAATACGACGTAGTAGAACTACACACCAATATGAACGAAAACCATCCTCTGCTCCAGCGGGACTTGCGTTTTCACAGCGTGCGTGGCACGGTTCAGTGCCCAGGCCGCCTTCGTACAATCCAAAACACCTCCGTCCTTTAAATCTGAGAACATATTCTCATAGAAGGCTTTGACAACGTGTTTTGCAACAGCATCGTCGACCTGCCACAGCGTCCCAATGACGCTCTTGAACCCCGAAAACTGAAGACCAGCTGCGAGGTGAATCACTTCGTCGGGTGTCTCCTCATCCCCGACGGCAGTATGACAAGCCGATAAGAATGCGAACTCGGCGTGCGGAATATCTCTCTCCATGATATTGAGCAGCGTGAGATCTTCGTCTCTCATGACGAAATGCGAATTGTAAGGTTGCTTTGGGTCCTGCTTCCCATGACAAGCAAGGTGCACCCAGGTGTTCTGCTGCAAAGCTTCGAGCGCACCTGCTCGTGTGGCTGCGTCGCCAGAAATAGTAGTGCGTTTGGCTGTCGCAGGGACGAGCTTATGTACAAGCTCGAGCTCGCTTTCGACAGCCAAGAGCGCCTTGCCTTTTCCTGCACCCGGTTGACCCTGTCCGATTGTCACAAAGGATGGAGTGACGCGCGTCTTCATCATCTGTCTGGATCTGACCAGAGCCGAAAGTGTCGGGGTGTAAGAGCAGATGTAGAGATCCTCCAGGCATGGCTCCCTAGAGCCATCTGGGTTCGTTCGAAACGGGTGAGCTGCGTGGAGAGGAATAGATGTGAAGGCTGCAGTTGGACACAGCCAGATTCGACAGTATTTTAGTTTTAGATCATGCCGGAGGACATTGACGATGGGTAGCATGATCTCGTCCCATACTGTCCGCAACAGGACTATTAGATCGTTTCGCGGCACTTTTGGGCCCAGGGTAGATGCGTGTCGTATTGCCATGGTGACGCGGTCCTTGAGATTGCTCAGATCTGCGAGAGTGACAGATGGCAAGGAAACATGATGGGGGTGTCCTGACGTCGGAACGATGATGGCGCTGCACAAGTATTCACTCGCAATGAGGATGATGACCGGGCCCTGGCGCGCTGCCGCTTGCAGGTCTGCATACAAAGGTGGGAGCAGGAACCGCGAGAACCCCCGAAGATCACGTATCTCAGCTACCGCAGCTTCCCATTGCCTTGTAAGTCTCCTGTACTCTATTGCTGCCCGATCGACAGCAGCGTTGTGAGTGATTGTTGCAGAACTCTGGGCCGCACTGGAAACGAGTTTGCTCAGCTCCAAATAATTGTGCGCCAGTGCCGGATTCGCTGACTCAAGGGCTTCAACTGGAGTCCTGAGTCGGGAGGCCAGCGACCATTGCTGGCCACGGCCCTGCTCCACAAGTTCAACTGCATGTGGTAGATTGTCACAGCGGATGGCACATGATGCTGCATCTGCTGGGAGTGTTCTAGCGTAATGGAAGGCAGCGGCAGCTTCGCGTCGTGAAGTTGCCGAAAACCGTGTTGCCAAATGAGTATCCAGAAGCTCAAAAAATGTCGAGTAGGCTTCCAGCGCGGATCCATGACTATGCCGCTCCGCTGCAACTGTCCAATTAAATGCGCTAATGATACGTTCTGGGAACCCTTGAGTAGAATGTCTTGATGCGAGTCTGGAATTCTCCACTGCAAGAGACAAATCAGCAGGGTTGAGTAGAATCTGGTAACGAGAGAAATAGGCCTCCTACAGCCGCATGTAGCTGAAGTGCCTGTTCGGGTGCAGTGAAGACAGAGCCGCCAATGATTCTTGACAAAGAGCAATGGCCTCCTCAACATCTTCGGTCTCCTGAGTTTGTGTAAAACGAGAGCAGAGCGCCGAGCTCAAATTGAAAAGAGTCTTATGGCGCTCTGGATTGTCAAGCCGCTTTAACCGAAGGCAATCGCGATACTGATCAATAGCTTCGTTGAGATCCTCGCTAACTTGCGATTTGTCATATCTGTTTTGGAGCGCGAGTGCAAAGTTGTTAAGGGTGGTGTCATGATATGAATGCCCAGGTAGGCACAACGTCAAGGCCTCGCGATAGAGGCTGATGGCTCGGGTCATGTCATCAATGTCGCCGCGTTCGTTGAAACGGTCGACGAGGGCACCCCCTAGGTTGCCCAGTGAGCAATCACGAGATTCGTGCCCAACAGGGCGCAAGTGCAGCGCTTCTTCATACAAATAGATGGCCTCATGGAGGTCATTAGTATTGCCTTGGTGCTTAAAGCGGGGCACAAGTGAAAAGGCCAGGCTGTTCAGGTAGGTATCACGGTCAGCATGTCCCTCAGGACACAGAGACACGGCTTCACGACGGAGCTGTATGCTCGTGTCAAGATCATCGATGCTGCCGTGCTGATCGAACCGTGCTTTAACTGCTTGTGCAAGCTCGTCGAGGGTTCTGGGACGAAGTCGATGGCTCCTAGGACAGAGCTCGAGGACGACTCTTCGAAGTTGGATGCCTTCATCGGATGCGTCTGTTGGAAGACTGTTGCATCCGCCGATCACATAATCAAGACCATTTTCCCCTGCGGCGATGCTACGAAGGTACGTGCCCTCTGGACAGAGGGGCAGTAGCTCATAATAGAGTTGGGCGGCTTCGCATATGTCTGCAGCAGTACTTTTCTTGGAGTGGCGCCAACCGAGCGCTTCTGTGAGATTATATAGGGATAAGGGATGATCGGGATGGTGCTGCGGACGCAATGCAAGGGCGTCGCGGAACAGGGAAGTGGTAGTATCAATGTCTTGAATATGATTTCGGATGTAGCCTTTAAGGCGAACCCATGCAAGGTTGGTGAGAGCCGCTGCGCGGTCTGGATGGCCGACCGGACACTGGTTCAGAACCAACTGAAAATGCTCCATAGCATCGTTCAAGTGAGAGACATTCACATTCTCGTTTTCCCTGTATGAGGCAAATTGTGCGTGGCCCGCATCTGCGTCTCGAGCAATCTCGCAGTCTACGAGGGACTATAGTTGGCGATCCGTCAGCAAAGCTAACCGAACAGAGTCTGGGGTCGCTCACATCAAACAGTGCCCCCTTTTGATCGTCGCAAGCATGTACAACAGCAACCTTCAGTGTGATGGAAGGTTGGACATCACGCACGGCTGGGAAAGACAGATCTACGAGATGTTAGTATATGCACATGAATGAGAAGTGAATCACCGACCAAATGGGTGATCTCCATGATCGAGTAACTCATCCCACGACACTTGAAGTTCACCGATGACCTCTCCACCGCCTAGCATTCGACCAAGCTCATAGGACGCCCTGATCTCTATTGACAATGCAGGCGAGGCATTTGATGGTCTATAAACCAATCATCAGTTCTCGCATCACGTCAGAAGATCTCCATGGACTTTACAGAGTTACGGTATTCCCCCACGCCACAGATTTATCAGATGATAGGACATTGATGGCCGATTTCCAGCGTCTCCTCGAGTCGACATTGATGAATACGTAAATGCCAGCGGGAATGCGCCAAGAGGGGACATGAAGATTCTTTCCGCCGATGACTGTAGATAGAGTGTGAGGATGATGAAACAGATGCAAAGATAATATGGAGGGACTCGCCTTCAAGTCTGATATACCGGCTGTCTGAGCTCCCGGGCATGATGTTGCGATGGAGCAAAATGATGAGGATCGAGGATGGGTAGAGTGGTGGACGGGACGGATGGGATGGGAAGATGGGTGTAAGGATATGGGAAGAGTGGATAGAGTTCGGCTAAGTGGGGGATTAAGGCTCAGGGACCAGGGTTCAACGTTCAGGTCACGCTGCACATGTATTTCCATATGGTCGGTGGATGGTAAACATCTGAATGTGGAGCTTTGACGAGAGGGAAGGGTTGTATTCGAGGGAACAAAGTGCAGAGTGACTGTCGAGTCGATGGTTAAAGAAACAGGGTGAAGAGGGAATCACCAAATGAGGCGTATCTCGTATAAGATGGACGTGGACTGCAATCTGGAGGTGGTGCGGAGTCCGGACAGCTAATTTACCGAGCGTAAATCCCCGTGCACTACGTCCCCTGCATCAAGTACGAAAAGATGAATGATCATCTGAATACGACCATATTCGGACGGATCCATAGCTAGAGAGAATGACGTTAAAATAGCGAGAGCAGTAAAGTAAAATGAAGTCACTCTCTCCGTCCACACGTGATGTCTTTCGAGATTCAGAACCAAAAATAGACTCGGGATGTTCTTGCGCACTTCTTTTACCCGGGTAGATATCCAATTGGTGAACCCATCGACGAAGAAGCTAGTTCGACCTAGATTTTACTACGAAGAGACGATGAACCGTCACATGTATTAGTAGAGCAGTTGTCAGGACGTTCTTCTATACTACTTCCAGTGCACTGGAGTATCTACTTAGCAGCTTGTGCGATTGTCGAACATCTCCGAGTCTGGCATATCTTAGCATGTTGTAATTCTGTTTCCTGCCAGCTGCCATATATTACCGGTGACTCCCATTCTCTCACTTAAGATTCCACGGTGCAGAAAGGCCTAACTTGAAGGATCTCTGGTTTGACTGGTACTAGGCTTGACTGATATGACTCCCACTATCTACAAGTACTCAAGCAGAAGACGAGGCTGCAAACAAGTCGAGTACACAAGAAATTAAGTGAACATTCTAGTCGACAAAGTATACAAAAGTAAGATAGCTGGAGTGCAAGAATATGATATCAGAGTCATTTTCACAACGAGTCCCAGATCAACAACTTGTAAATATGTACCAGGCGATAGGAATACGACATGGAACTACACACCAATATGAACAAAAACCATCCTCTGCTCCAGCGGGACTTGCGTCTTCACAGCGTGCGTAGCACGGTTCAGTGCCCAGGCCGCCTTCGTACAGTCCATCGCACCTCCGTCCTTCAAATCTTTGAACATACTTTCATAGAAGGCTTTGACGACGTGTTTTGCGACAGAGTCGTCGACCTGCCACAGCGTCCCAATGACGCTCTTGAACCCCGAAAACTGAAGACCAGCTGCGAGGTGAATAATTTCGTCGGGTGTCTCCTCATCCCCGACGGCGGTATGACACGCTGATAGGAACGCGAACTCGGCGTGTGGAATATCTCTCTCCATGATATCGAGCAGCGTCAGATCTTCGTCTCTCATGACGAAATGCGAATTGTAAGGCTGCTCAGGATCCTGCTTGCCATGACAAGCTAGGTGCACCCAGGTGTTCTGCTGCAAAGCTTCGAGTGCACCTGCTCGTGTGGCTGCGTCGCCAGAGACACTAGTGTGTCTGGCCGTTACAGGGACGAGCTTATGGACAAGCTCGAGCTCGCTGTCGACAGCCAAGAGCGCCTTGCCTTTTCCTGCACCCGGTTGACCCTGTCCGATCGTCACGAAGGATGGAGTGACGCGCTTCTTCATCGTCTGTCTGGATCTGACCAGAGCCGAAAGTGTTGGCGTGTAAGAGCAGATATAGAGATCCTCCAGGCATTGCTCCCTAGAGCCATCTGGGTTCGTTCGAAACGGGTGAGCTGCGTGGAGAGGAATAGATGTGAAGGCTGCAGTTGGACACAGCCAGATTCGACAGTATTTGAGTTTCAGATCATGCCGGAGGACGTTGACGATGGGTAGCATGATCTCGTCCCATACTGTCCGCAAGAGGACTATTAGATCGTTTCGCGGCACTTTTGGACCCAGGGTAGATGCGTGTCGTATTGCCCTGGCGACGCGGTCCTTGAGGTTGCTCAGATCTGCGAGAGTGACAGACGGTAAGGGAACATGATGGGGGTCTCCTGAAGTTGGGACGATGATGGCGCTGCATGAATATTGACTCGCAATGAGGATGATGACCGGGCCCTGGCGCGCTGCCGCTTGCAGGTCTGCATACAGAGGTGGGAGCAGGAACCGCGAGAACCCCCGAAGATCACGTATCTCAGCTACCGCAGCTTCCCATTGCCTTGTAAGTCTCCTATACTCTATTGCGGCCCGTTCTGCAGCAGCGCTGTCGGTGATTGTTGCAGAACTCTGGGCCGCACTGGAAACGAGTTTGCTCAGCTCCAAATAATTGTGCGCCAGTGCCGGATTTGCTGACTCAAGGTCTTCAACTGGAGTCCTGAGTCGGGAAGCTAGCGACCATTGCTGGCCACGGCCCTGCTCCACAAGTTCAACTGCATGTGGTAGATTGTCACAGCAGATGGCACATGATGCTGCATCTGCTGGGAGCGTTCTGGCGACATGAAAGGCAGCAGCAGCTTCGCGTCGTGAAGTTGCCGAAAACCGTGTTGCCAAATGAGCATCCAGAAGCTCAAAAAATGTCGAGTAGGCTTCCAGCGCAGATCCATGACCATGCTGCTCAGCCTCAACTGTCCAATTGAATGCGCGAACGATGCGTTGTGGGAACCCTTGAGTAGAATGTCTTGATGCGAGTCTGGAATTCTCCACTGCAAGAGACAAATCAGCAGGGTCGTGTAGAATCCGGTAACGGGACAAATAGGCCTCCTGCAGCCGCATGTAGCTGAAGTGCCTGTTCGGGTGCAGTGAAGACAGAGCCGCCAGTGATTCTTGGCAAAGAGCAATGGCCTCCTCAATATCTTCATTCTTCTGAGTTTCCGTGAAACGAGAGCAGAGCACCGAGCCCAAACTGTAAAGAGTTAAATAGCGGTCTGGAACATCAAGCCGCTGTAACCGAAGGGATTCGCAATACAAATCAATGGCCTCGTTAAGATCCTCGCTGACTTGCGATTTGTCATATCTTTTTTTGAGCGCGAGGGCAAGGTTGTGAAGCGTGGTGTCACGATGTGGATGCCCAGGTGTGCACAACATCAGGGCCTCGCGATGGAGGCTGATAGCTCGGGTCATGTCTCCGATGTTGCTGCGTTCGTTGAAACGGTTGATGAGGGCGAGCCCTAGGTTGTCCAATGAGGAATCACGAGATTCGTGTCCAACAGGGCACAGGTGCAGTGCTTCTTCGTACAAAGAGATGGCCTCATCGAGGTCATTAGGATTGCCTTGATGCTCAAAGCGGGACACGAGTGAAAAGGCCAAGTTGTTCAGGTAGGCATCACGGGCAGCATGCCCCTCAGGACACAGAGACATGGCTTCACGACCCAGCTGTATGCTCGTGTCAAGATCATCGATGCTGCCGTGCTGATCAAAGTGTGCTTTGACTGCTCCCGCAAGCTCGTGGAGGGTTCTGGGACGAAGTCGATGACCCAGAGGACAGAGCTCGAGGATGACTCTTCGAAGGTGGATGCCTTCATCGGACGCGTCTGTTGGAAGATTGTTGCATCCCCCAATCACATAATCAAGACCATTTTCCCCTGCCGCGATGCCACGAAGGTACGTGCCCTCTGGACAGAGAGGCAGTAGCTCATGATAGAGTTGGGCCGCTTTGCATATGTCTGCAGCAGTACTTTTCTTGGAGTGGCGCCAACTGAGCGCTTCGGCGAGATTATATAGGGATAAGGGATGATCGGGATGGTGCTGCGGATGCAATGCAAGCGCGTCGCGGAAAATGGAAGTGGTAGTATCAATGTCTTGAACATCATTTCGGATGTAGCCTTGAAGGCGGGCCCACGCGAGGTTGGTGAGAGCCGTTGCGCGGTCTGGATGGCTGACCGGACACTGGTTCAGAACCAACTGAAAATGCTCTATAGCATCGTTCAAGTAAGAGACGCTCTCGCGTCTCACGTATCTGGCAACTCGTACGTGGCCAGCATCTGTATCTGGAGCAATTTCGCAGTCTACGAGGGACTATAGTTGGCGTTCCATCACCAAGATCTAACAGGACAGAATCCGAGGTCGCTCACATCAAATAGTGCGCCGTTTTGATCGTCGCAAGTGATACGGACTAGGATAGTTCGAGCTCTCCCTAGGCGGATTGCCTAATCTGATAGCGGGCTCGCTACTGGAGAGACGGGGATCTTCTCTCGAATGAGAGGTTCGGGGGTTCCACTTAAGGTAGCGTCGGCTTCCTTAAGGTGCGGCTTAGACTGAAGGACTGGGACTGTCTTTCAGAGGAAGTTCTGGATAAAACCTAGTAGAATCAAGTAGGGAATATACATGATTCTGTCTGCTCTATATACTGTCGTCCGTGTGCACAGACCAATACTACGTTCGGTAGGTAGGTATAAGTGTGTCTATACAAGGGCATCTTATCTGATGCCATGCGGTCGATTATCTATGCATGAGGCTTACCATGCCTCTCTTATCTGTCCTCAAGGCGTAGCATGCCTTGGAGTCTAACTGCGCATGCTAAGGCATGTGGCTTCTCTTCTGACCATGAGGCAGAGCTTCCTCATGATCCGGGTCGAGGACCATCTAGGTCCGATCAGATGTAGCCTAGGCTGGTCTAGGTCATCTAACGGCATCCAGGCCGTTCTAGGCGTCTCTACGAGTCTCCGTTGAGTCGGTAAGTCTTCCAAGACGGTGCATATGGTGGGATAGGGGCTAAGGTCATGATGACCTCCGTAGGAGGGGTTCTCGGTTACATGTTATTGTAACAGCAAGCATGTACAACAGCAACCTTCAGTGTGATGGAAGGTTTGACACCGCGCACGGCTCGGAACGATAGATCTACGAGATGTCAGTGTATGTGCATGAATGACAAGCGAATCACTCACCAAATGGGTGATCTTCATGATCGAGTAGCTCATCCCACGACATTTGAAGTTTCCCGATGACCTCTCCACCGCCTAGCATTCGACCAAGCTCATAGGACGCCCTGATCTCTATTGGCAATGCAGGCGAGGCATTTGATGATCTATAAACCGACGATCAGTTCTCGCATCACGTCAGGAGATCTCCATGGACTTTACAGAGTTAGAGTATCCCCCCACGCTACAGATTCATCAGATGATAACACACTGATGGCCGATTTCCAGCGTCTCTTCGAGTCGACATTGATGGACACGTAAATGCCAGCGGGAATGCGCCCGGACGGGACTTTAAGATTCTTTCCGCTGATGACTGTAGATAGATCACAAAACAGATACGGAGATGATATGGAGAGACTCGCCTTCAAGTCTGATATATCGGCTTTCTGAGCTACAGGGCATGATGTTGCGATGGAGCGAAATGATGAGGATAGAAGATGGGTAGAGTGGTGAGTGGTGGACGGGGTGAATGGGAAGGGAAGATGGGGGTAAAGATATGGGGACTGCGGATAGAGTTCGGCTGAGTGGGAGATTGAGGCCTAGGGTTCAGGTCACGCTGCACGTGTATTTCCATATTGTCGGTGGATGTTCGGCACGATAGACGCTGGTGTGATCGCACAAGCGCTGGCAATGGAGACCACCGACCAGGATTAGCAGAAGAATCTGTGCTAATGTAGAGAATGGCATGAACAGTTTGCGGCGAAAGTGGTCTGCCAACGTTGAAAGGGACGTGCGAGCCTCAGAGTGATTGTTGCTCCTGGACTTGTATCGTACTACTCAGTTAGCACGCAAAGACAAAATGTAGAATTGAGTATATTTTGTGAGGTAATGACAAAGGCAAAAAATGTCTATATTGCTGAAAACGTGTAACGCTCGTCAAAAGCCGACGACGATACATCGACGATGGCAACCAAATATTAGCTTTATCATTCTCTCTAGTTACTCATTTAGTTTCTTTCTCCTTTAGTCCCTGACTTTCTTACCCTTCAGTATATAAGCCATCGCGTTTCTACTTGTAGGGTAGTTGATTTTCACCCCCCCTTGAATAACACTTAGTTAGGACAGTTACCCTGTTCGAACCTTAAGACGATTCAAACCTATCGACTCTCTAGTGTGAACGTTTCATAAACGCCACATATTTTTAACTGCCTTCAAATCTAAAATCTATTCCTACTATAGTCGTTGTCTAAGAGGCCTGATCAACCTCCAAACTTCGACTCTTGTTAAAACACCAAATCTATCCCTACCCGAACGATATCGTCAAGAAAAGAAAAAGAAAAAATGCCTACTAGTGCACTAGAAATTGCCTCCCCACGTTCCACAAGGAACCTGAGCGTTGATGGCCGCGCCCACGAGCAAGACGGCGCGAAGTCTCGAAACAGTAGCCCTGTTTCTGGAGACGAAGGGAATGGCGGCCCAATGGCTAAACCTCCCTCCAAGTTCGGTCCTCGCGACCTGAACGAGGTGGACCTAGAGTCCACCCAGGCGAAGCGTGCTGTGAGCAGCCCCGCCCAGAGCAGAGCCCCGTCATCAAACGACGCAGGTGCCGCTACAACCCATATCGCTCGAGGCGATGAGGACCCATTTGCACCAGTCATCGAAATACCCACTGGCGGTCCCATAATAGGTCGACTACGTACCTTTACATCGCCTGATAGTAATAACATACCACGCCTGCAAGCAGTCTTTGATTGGTCAGAGGTGACCGATGACGAGGAACTAGGGGACGTACCTGAATTCCCGGTACTAAGACCTAGCACAACTACCAGTGAGAGTAAGCCTGAAATTAATGAGGATCACTCCGAGAAAAACAAAGAAAACGACCTACATAAGCTCAGCACACTAACTAGTCACCTTCGTGACTGGACAGAATTCGATGAGGACGTTGCGGAGCTCAATCGTCCCGGATCAAACGAGTCGGACGAGTCACTTCGTCGACTGTGGGATGACGACAACAGGGCAGGATCCATCAGGATCCAAAACTTCGCCCTAAAAGGTTTTCGAAAAGCTGCAAAACAAGATTATGCGGAAAAGTGTGAGGAAGTCAGCGACTTGCTAGACCGAGTCAAGGAACTTGAAAGACTAGTAATCGAGGCACAGACCAGGGAGGAAATGGCGCAGCAACTGATCCGGGAGGCACAACGTGTACCTAACCCTGGCCCACCCCAAGAGAGCACACTCCTTGTTACAAGTCCCCCAGCACAAAACACTGCAGAAGTGAATGAGGGACGACGCGCGACGGTGATAGACAGTGACCCACCAAGCATAAGGGAGCCTGTTAGTGACAAACCCGTCAAAGATAACACCAGATTCTGGAGGGCATCATCACTCCTCCCCGATAAAAGTTCGGTCAAACGAGCCATAGTTGGAGGCAATCCAAGCGACCCCGACTCTTCTGAACCCTCGCCAGAATCAGGATCTGATGATGAGCGTTCGTCTACCGAATCCTCTGGTGAGGACACAAGACGCACCAGCAGGGACAAGAAGAAATTGATGTCATCTTCTCTCAATAAGCACACGCACAAAGACAAAAGGAAATTGAGGACAGCACCTGCATTTATTACCAGAACCGTGTCTGAGGAAGACGCCTCGGATGAGTCCGACTCGAAACTACTGCACTTGGAGCCAGAGTCCGACCATAGTAGCGACTCGGACAATACCAAACGACTAAAGAGAACAGCCCAGCGCAAGCATAGATCCCATATGAACCTTCTGAAATATCAGCAAGGTTTCTTAAAGCACGAACCACCTTTTACTTACAATGGGGAAGCCAATGCGTCCACTTTTAAGAAGTGGGTCCGCGAAGTACGAGACTGGCGGGACCGGGCCAGGCTATCAACCAAGCAAACAATCAGTATGGTCGGAAAGTACTTGGGAGGCAACGCCTATCGATTCTATGAGCGCGATGTCCTAGATCTTAAAAAGAAATACACACTTACCGATTTCTTCGAGCAATTATTTGATTATTCCTTCCCAATGGACTTCAGAATGATGCAGCGTCAACGATTCCTCGAGTGTCGCCAGGAGGGAAAACAGAGTGTGCAAGACTACATCCGTCGCCTCCGAAACATAGCCGATACGACGGGCGACGTGGACGAGAGGGAACTTGTTCGACAGTTCTGGATGAACTGTAAACCATATATCAAAGCTTCGTTAGTAGATAAAGGATACGACCCAAACACCATCAGTATGGACACGATTGAGAGAAAGGCTCTCCGCACCGAGAGAGCGTTCCTAGAAAACGCCAAAGATCCTAGCGTACTTTTAGCATTGACACCGACCCTAGCTGCCGGCCTTGCAGCCCAAGGTGCTCACAGCACCAGGCAGGACCAACATCATAGAAGGCGTGATAGGAGGCACCGAACCCACTCACTCTCTGCCAACGCTGTAAACCAATCCCAGCCCAGAGGCCATCATAGAGATAGGCGCCCTGGACCAGAGAGACGGTCTCGCGAGCCCCACAGAGGTCCTCAGACTGGCAAAAGCGCTGATACTATACGCAAACTCAGAGACTTGAATCAGTGTTTCGAGTGCGAACAAACAGGCCACTTAGCTAAAGATTGTCCCAAGAGACATCGTCTGCCTCCTCACAACTCACCCAGGGTCGGCACCCTCAGGTCCAACGCTGTTGGAATCACCTCCGCAGACATCCGATCGGCCGCTATCAACGAGGGTAACGCGCAAGGACTGTATGGATTTGCCATAGACATACCTAAGTCTGCAAACTCGTTAGCTGAGCCTGGAATCAGTGAACATCTGCTGGTCGTGCACCGAGCAATAACCACTCTAAAATTGGCAGTACCATTCCCCACTGACGAACTCTCTGACCCGCTGTACGACCCGTTTGGACCAGATCGCTTCTGCCTCACCAACTGGGGTGGCCCTGACACGTACTTATTGTCAGATAAACATAACTATGATGAGTATATCGTCTATTACTCACAACTGAGAGATCCCGGCTTCAACATCACTTCGTGGCTGACTGAGATGAAGCTACATAACTATCAGTACCTCGTGAGAACGAAGACATCTTTCAAACCCACCTGGTTCGGCCAGACATCTCCTGCACCCGAAACACCCGCGAACGACAACGAAGATGATGATGAGTCCTCCTGGGCCACTACTGACTGCGAAAGCAGCGATGATGAGGAGGACAACTTCCCTGGACTGCTTAGTTGCGAGTCCAGCGAGGAGGACGAACCTGACGTTGGAGGTGAGCTCTTCTGTGGGATGACCTCTCGTACGAAAGCTGACTTACCGGATCTGCAATCCCTCCAGCGCCAATCAGCGCGTCCAAAGAACTCCACTAGGATCCTTCCTAGATCGTTAGTCATAGTCGTACTATTGAACGGAAAACCCTGTCGCGCACTGCTGGACTCCGGGTCTCTAACGGACTTCGTGTCAAGTACTGTAGTTGATCAACTTAAATTGAAATATGACTTACTTGATAAGCCCATTCCCCTGCAACTCGCTGTGTCCGGATCCAGGAGTTCCGTGAAGGCTACTACCCGTGTTGAGTTAACATATCAAGACATTAAGGGTCCACGTACCTTTGACATCGCTAACCTCGAGTCTTACGACGTCATCCTCGGGATGCCGTTTCTATTCCAGCATCAAGTGTTGCTGGGATTCAATCCCCCGGAGATTAAGATCCGTAGCCTTGAGCCGTTACCGATCCGCGGCTCGCAGACCCAGGTCCTCGAGCTAAAGGGGATGAGCCTGTCCTCAGATCAGATTGAGTCCTACACGAAAGAACTTCATGAGTACGCCAAAGACATTTGTAAGGAGGCAATTGAGACACCATTACCTCCGCTGCGCGCGATAAACCACATTATACCCCTCATCAACGAAGACCAAGTCTATTCTTGGCGTCAGTCTAAGTGCCCAGAGGCCTTGCGGCCGCTCTGGAGGGCCAAACGAGACGACTACATCAGAACGGGCAGGTGGGAGTTCTTTAGCGGTACTAACGCTGTACCTATGATCATGATGAAGAAGACTTCCAAGGACGATGAACTCCGTTTACGTACCGTTCTCGACACTAGACAACGCAACACGAACACGCGGAAACTCGCATCACCACTCCCGGACATAGATACCATATTGCGCAATGTCGCGTCGCATCCCTATCGTTCCCTTCTTGATGGTAAGGACGCGTACGAGCAGATCCGTATCGTACCCTCCGACGTGCATAAGTCCTTATTTGCGACACCTGATGGGACAATGATCAGTCATGTCATGCAAATAGGAGATTGCAACGCGGGTGCCACTTACCAATCGCTAATGAACCATATCTTCGGTCCCCACCTAGGAATATTCATGGACGTCTATTTAGACGACATAGTAATATATTCGGACTCACCTGAGGACCATGTCCGGCACGTTAAGACGGTTATTGACACCCTACGCTCAAACCACTTCTTCCTGAGTGAACATAAGCTTCAATTCTTTAAGACCGAACTTACGATACTTGGCCACGTCATAGATGACGGGGGAATCCGTCTTGACCCTCACAAAGTCGACAAAATCCTCCATTGGAAGACCCCCACATCCAAGGAACTGCTCATGCAGTTCATTGGTTCCGTGGGGTACCTTGCTGCCGGATGTGAAGGAGTT